TTTACGATAAAATATGCTGTCTTTTATCTTTAAGTTAGAAACAATGTACTTAATATATGTGGCTAAACATAATAATTGAATAATGCACTCTTATAAACACTCATATATATATATATATATATATATATATATATATATATATATATATATATATATATATATATATATATATATATATATATATAGATATATATATATATATAATACATATATATATATATGTATATATATATATACATATATATATATATATATATATATATATATATATATATATATATATATATATATATATATATATACATGTGTGTGTGTGTGTCTGTGTCTGTGTTTTCAGCCTGTTCTCATCACACTAAAGCAGGTGGACTCTACCTTACATTTAGACAGTCAGGCCCTGAAGAGTATTTACACTGTCTATGTAGTTGCTTAGTACATAGACAAAATGAACAGAACATACAGGAAGCTGGAGGCTATACAGCAGAAAATGCAGGCCTTGTGGTTTTAAGGCGTAGTTTGAACACAGCCTGTTGGGCTATATTGTGATTACAGGAAACTCACAGATAATACATGCACTGAATTTTTTGCATCTGCTTTTCACTTGCGTTTTAATCTTATAGGGTTTGTAAAATTTGTTCATAAAAAAATCGGTAAATAAGCTCATTGAAAACATCGTTAAATGCAGTGGATCTGCTAATTGATCACGACAGCAGCAACACAGTAACAGACGGTGACGACTTCACCTGCCTCGACAATGGAGCAAGCAGCTTAACACTAGAACTTGGGGGTGTTTTTACCGTCTCCTACATAAGGCTAGTTTACATATACGGTACGATTCTTCTCAAAGGTATTCATTTTATATCAAGTTGTTTGTTTTACGTTTCTTAATTGGTAAAACAAGAGAGTTTTTTTTATATCATGTTTATTATTTATATTATTAAATTAACAATAGAGGTGTACGTTTTTATCACGTTTGATGTCTTATATTACTAAATTGGCGAAAATAGAAGTGACATTGTTTATCACATTGTAATTTTTTAAATTACTAAACAATAAATAATAAAGATATACTATTTTATTACGTTGTATAATTTATATTACTAAATCACGTTGTATGATTAATATTATTTAACTATTAAAAACGAGATAAATGGCCCGTTGAGGGTGAAATACAACGGGTGCTAGGTTGATAGTGTTGTCTTTTTCTCATAACTGATACCAAAACCAAAATCACCATCTCTACTTCAATTTTAACCGAAAGCGAAAAAAATAGATTTTCTTCGGCGTGAAATCCTCTGCACGCAGACCCCTTTTAAAATTAGACAATTATTTTCGGTGGTAATGGTAGTGGCTTTATTATGAAGTATCGATGACGTCAGTATTATTGTAAATTTTTTTTTGGGGCAAGGGCTTTTAAATAGTTTGTTCAATGGCGTCATATTATTGTGTGTAGGCCTACTTTTCCGGCTTTAGACTGTTTCCTACTTTATGTTCCATGTGACGTCACGTTTCGTTTTCCGTTAACTGTGAAATTTTTTACTTTGCTTGGGTTGTCTCTTAGTATTGCCAACAGATAGGTAGATAGAGTAACAGAATAGTGAAACTATAATTATCGATAGAGAAAATGCAAAGTATGCTATGATCTGAACTGTGAAAGAGAATGAAATTATTTTTCCTCTAACATTTCTCTAAAACCATGAAAAAACATGAAATTATTTTTCCTCTAACATTTCTCTAATACCAGGAAAAAAACATGAAATTATTTTTCCTCTAAAATTTCTATAATACCATGAAAAAACATGAAACTATTTTTCCTCTAACATTTCTCTAATACCAGGAAAAACACAAGATGTTCAAATCGAGTACCAGACGATGACCTCCCCTTTCACCTGCCCTAATGCTAAAAAATATACAGAAGATAATATTCAGGACATTTACTGTGATCATAACCAATTGGCGAACGCTTTAGTTCTTAAGGGTCCCGGCGTTTCATCTCTGTGTTCTGTGTATTTCAGTGGAGGTAATCTATCTTCTTTTTTTTTTCTAATAACAAATGCAATTTTTCTGTATAAAATATACTCCATTCTAGAATATTGCACTTTTTGTTTACAATTTTTCTAAACCCTTCATTTTTACAAGCGTTTATTACAGGCGGAGTTGTACTACTCTTTCTGCACTATTGTATGCGCATTTTTATGTTTATTTGCCGCGCAATCGTTTTAAGTTTTGAAACTCTGTTGTAAATTTTTAAAAAATGCATAAAAACCATTTTAAAACAAGCTGTTGTATAATAAAGCACTAAAATGGAGAAAATAAACGATTTTCTTGAAATATAGATCTATAACAATACACTACTATTTAAATAACTATAAAGAAAAGCGAAGATCTCTTTCTAAATATTAGGAAACTTATTTAATAGATAATATAATGACCCACGATTTGCTTTATACTTATTTAAATAGTAGTATTGTATTATATATTTCAAGAAAATCATGTACTTTCTACTTTTTAGAGCATTATTACTTAAAAACTGGTTTTAAAAGGTTTTTTAATTCAATTATTGTTCCATATTTACTTTTATTCAGGACGTAATCTTGCATTGAAACAAAAAGCAGTTCTGACACCTGATTCTACAAATGCTGACAATACTGTAGATGGGAACTGGTGGAATTGTGAACCTCTTCAAACCAGTATCACTAAAGAAACTCCTTTCATTGAAATTAGCTTTCACAAAACTGTATCAATCTCTCGCTTTAGACTGCACAATCGTGTTTACGGTCAGTAATCATTTTTACATTAGCTACATGTTTCATAATTACATCACTTAAAATAAAATTAATTATCTTTTAAAGTCGTTCAGAACTGACTTAAAATAAAATAAAAACGACACCTTTGTTTTATTATAAGTATGTTTATGATTGTAAAACGTAAGTAGTAAAATTACACAAATTAGCATAAAATATTCAGGCGAACTTGTACGCCTTTATGAAGAACACATACGTATATCTTTTCTTGAGAACTCCGGACACTTAGATTAGAACTTGAAAAGATTTTCAAAATAATGAGATGATAAAGAAATTGATTAGGTCGTGCACATAAAACTGCATCCTTAGAAAAGTTGATAGTGGTGGTAAAACCGGGTTAATTGAGACTCAAGATAGCCTCTTAATCAGAACAATACGAACGCTTAGATTTCGCAGGGTCATAACAGGGCTACTCGTAAGGTCACAAAGACTTGGTGTAACTCTTCCATAGTAAATATTATCGAATAAAAAGGAAATAAGAACAGGTGAAAATATTAGAGGTGTCTCTAATTGGAATAAACGTAGAACAAAATAAATATAAAAACTGATACATACTTAAAAACGATTATTAAAACAAATTATTAAATATATAAAAAACAAAAACAACTATAATAAAAAACATATGCATACATAGAAACCAGAACTAAACATTGAAACTACCCTGGTAGATAATTGTATACGTTTGTAAGTTACCCTTTCGAATCTTGCGATTCATTGCACAGATAAAATAGAGTTGACGTGTTTCCGTATTTGGAATATGAAGGGATACCGTTTGGTATATTTGACTAAAACATTTATGTGTAAATATAACATTCCTGTACATCCATCGTGATGCACCCGGATGCAAACGCGACTCTCCAACCTAATGTGATTAGAGCGACTCGCCCAAGTTGGGACCTTTACATGCAATTGGTTGTGTTTCAAAGGCAACTGAACTAGTTTTATTCGGTCTAATTTTTTTTTTCTCTTTTCTTTGTGATCAAATCTTCACCTATTTGGCTATGCTGCTGATGGTTAGCACAAGGCGTTTGCAATACATCCACACTTTTGGATTGTAGATCTTAGCAATTTTGGTTTTTCCTTGAATTTTTCTCTATATCCTGCTTATGTAACTTTGATAAATCGTCTCATTTTCAGATCAAAGAATCACCTTTGTTCAATGTTTTTGTTGTTGTTTTGTACCTATATATTCTATTGAGATTTATTTATATAGATCACACAAAAAGCTGAATCAGTCTTTCATAAAAAACTTAGGCGAAGATGTGAAGTCCTCGGGAGTTGTGATAGATGCATTTGATGAGCAATCAACACGCCTACTTCACTACACAAATGAAAGCACCATGCAATTGGAATTCAATTTGAATATTGAAAAGCTAAACAGGGTATCAAAAGTCAAAATAACTAACCCAAATACTAAATCAAGTTCGTTTTCTGATTTCGTCGATAACATATGCGAAATTCAAATATTTGGAGGTAAGTATTATATTGTTTTGTTAAAAATTGTCATTTTATTTTTTTTTAGCTTAAATATTGTACAAAAGTTTACACATTATTTGGTTTTTATCTTTAAAAAGCATTAACGTTAGAACAGAAATATAATAAAGATTAAAGATAGTGTGATACAGGTTTAATCGAACCCGCCGAATTGTGTGTTGACAATTCTATAGCATAACTATTTGCATAATACCTGCAATTTTTTTTAAAGACTGTATCGATGGATCGTGGGGATTGGACTGTGAAAACAAATGCGACAAAAAATGTGGCAACGTTTGTCATAAGGAGACGGGCAAATGTTAACTTTTAGGTAGGGATATTTTGATGGTAATTTAAAATGGCTACAATTCTGGTAGTTATACTTTCGGTTTGCTGGTAATTTAATGTTTTAAAACCAACTACATTCTTGTTACATTGTTGTTTTTGAGATAACAACTATTTTATGATTTAAAAGTTGGTTTAACATAATTCAATTACATTTTTTAAAAATTTTATATAGTGTGAAAATAGGTAGAAAATAATCATTATACAATAAAATCAATTGTTTTTTAATTTAAAAAAGGCTTAATTCTTATGAAACATGTTTATAAAAACACATTCTGAAAACATGAATAGTGTGCATCGTATTTAATATTCTTACTAGCATTTCAAGCAACAACTTGGTGACATAAAAAAATGAGAACTTCATTTTTTATCTCCACACAGATGATTTAAGCATGTAATGCTTTCAATTTTGTCGTATTCAGCATTACCCTGATGCTTTCTAATAGATTTATGCTTTTAATTATTTATGTAACTAATTGTATGCATCCATTAAAAAAAGGTATCACCCGAATAATATTATGCTTTTATTATTATTTTTTATTTATATTTAACAGAATTTTAAGAAACAACAAACACTACTGTAAAGCTTAAATAGTATAAATATTTATTAGCGAATAAATATCCATACTAAAATTTAAAGGCAACTGCTTTAAGCCGAAAAACTATATTACTATTATTATATAATTTCATTCTGTTTTAAATAGCTATTAATATTGCTTTGCCTAAGCTCATATATCATTGCATTATTATCAAATCTCGCCTTAAGCGTCAAGCAGAAAAGTTTTTCTGTAAAACTTACGTACAGTTTGTCGTTGAACGTATACATGCTAATCCACATGTTAGCTAAGTCGAACCCATTGGGCAGATACAAAAAACATCTCAAGTAATACACCGGACATTACATTTCCCAATATAGGCCTACGTTTGATATACACATTGTTTATGGAACCTTACACATAAATAAAAACTATCAATATTATTTGAACACTATAAAACTAATAAAGGAAGCAGTTGCTTTAAAATCCAGTGCACAGAGAGGAATAAAAAAAAATCTCTTACTAGCTGAATCAAATCTGATAATCAAAATTATTTCAAGATACAAATCGAAAGGTAAGTAACATGTAACATTAGAATGAGATTATGTAAAATAAACCGGGAGTGATCTCCTCTAAACTTTATGGAATATTCTTATATAACACTACGGGGGATGGCAACTCGGGATATAGGCAATATTTTAAATCCATTTTTAATTACTTAAACTTTTTAAAATAGAATAAAAATCTCTTAGAAAAAAAGAATTGCACAACAAGTGAATGCTAAATAAAATGTATATAATAGTGCGGAACATTATTAGTACTTTATAAATTCACATGCGTTTTTTTGAGAAATCGGAAATAGACTAAAGTACTACTTCCGGTCAACGGAAGTTACTAAAAATTTGATAGAAGGCAGAGAATAAGATCTTTTTACTTATATGTGAAATTTCATTTCTCTATCTGAAATAATAGTCTAGTAATAGGATTTTAAAAAATAGAAAGTAGAGAAAGTTCCACTTACGGTTATTGGAAATAGTTGAAAAGTTTATACGGATCTACAAATTAGTTATTATACACATATATGAAATTTCATCAACCTAGCTGTAACGGTACTAAAGCTATGATGTTTACAGATACACACACACATACACACAGACATACGGACAAGATTGCAAAACTTTTTTTTCCGACTCAGGGTGTAAAAAAGTGTAAAATGTCGATAATTGCAAAATTTCGAATTTTTTGCACGATTACAATTCTCTATACTTTGTATACAAGTAAGTAAAACAGGGTAAGTAACGTGTAATTATTAGAATAGTCTTGAAACGTCTATGTAATCATACTACATTTTTTAAATCTTAAAATATATATGGCAAGCGATAAAATTAAAGTTACATTTTAACATTTTTAATTGTTTGAGAACCATCGATTATACTCATTTTCATATATGTGTATTGAATATAAGTTGTTGAGAAGCCTTTTAGAATTATTTTATCAATTCATATTTTTTTTTAAAACCTTCCTCAACCTCTCCTCGAAGACAACCGGAATGTCCAGGGAGAGTAAATGAATGATAGTCAGAAAAATAGTTTTCCATGATAAAATACACAATAGTTGTCTATGATGCATAATGTATGGCCTAGTATTGTATTTATATTAAATAATTTAACATCCCCTATAAGCACAACACCATTAATCTGCTAATCTATATTAAAAATAAAAGTGTTTGCTAAATTTATATTATATTACAAGTATTTATTTGTTTGACTATTTCCATTCTTAATAAAACCGGAGGTGATTTTGTACTTATTACACAAATATTCAATTTTGGTTGAAAAATATGCTTTCTGGCAACAAATATTTGGAACCATTTGGAACCAGCTTTTCATGCCTATTATACAATAAAATATATAGATCTTTATGAAAAATTTAGCTGTAGTATCTAAGATATAAAGTTCAATTGTGTATATTTATATGTTTGTAAAATGTTTGTAATTGATTGGATTTAAGTGTTAGATTATTATAGTGCTCATTGTCTAAATTTATGAGTTAAAAAATTACTATTGAAAGTCTTTAAAAACAATTTTCATTTTATATACTTAGAATAATAATTTTCAAATATGAACATTACATAAAATTAAAACAAAAATGTATCAACGTTTATAAAATTTCTAAAATTGTGTCTGAAATCTATTTGCATTTTGTCCTTAAGTTCTCATAACGTCCCTTGATTTTGAAAACACAGTTACTTCCCTTTTTTAAAAAAACCAGTCAAATCGGGGGAAGAAAGAATTTACTTTTTTTTCTTTGTTTTGGTGTGAGGAAAAAAAATATATAATTAGCGGGGACTGATTAAGTGCAATGTCGTTGGTATTGTGAATACTGCCTTTTATTTATTCTATACACTGAACGTACTGTTTACTAATTATTTTTTAAAATCAATAACTGTTAATAAGCCAGGTCCTACAAATCCTATATGTTTAATTCTTTCCATTTACGGATAAGCTTGAAGTATTATAATTTTGTTCACTAAATTGAAACAGGCACGTCCGCTGGCGCCACTCCACGGTTCGATTTGGTGCCCTGGGCTATCATGTGAGCGCTATGGTGCATAATTTCGTTTTAAACAGTGCGATAGACTATGAATAAGAAAGGTTATTATAGTTTTTAAGTGAATCAAATCCGGGCGTCCTCCGGCACCCCGACAGGACGCTATTTGGCGCCCCGGGCCTTCCCGTGTTCGCTATGGTACCTACGTTTGCGTACGTGAGTTCAAAAGCCTATGAATAAGTTGGGTACTATAGTCGTTTACTAAGTTGAATCAGGCGGTTACGCCGCACGTCGTCATGGTGCGATTTGGCGCCCCGGGCTAGACTGTGGACACATTGAGTTTATCTTTGCGTTTGTGTTTTTTTTGTGTTTGAGTTCAGGTTTGCGTTTGTGGTTGTGTTTGCGTATGGATTTGGGTTTAGGTTTGTTTTCGTTTGCTTTTTTTTGCGTTTGTCTTTTCGGTTGCTTTTTCTTTGTGTTTGTGTTTTCTTTGTGTTTGTGGTTGTGTTTGTGTTTGCGTTTGTTTTTGTGTTTTCGTTTGTGTTTGTATTTGTGTTTGTGTTATGTTTGCGTTGTTTTTTTTGTGTGTGTTTTGGTTTCGTTTGGTTGTGGTTGGGTTTGTGTTTGCGTTTGGATTTGTTTTCTTTTGCTTTTTTGTTTGCGTTAGTGATTGTGTTTTCTTTGTGTTTGTGGTTGGGTTTGTCTTTGCGTTTGTTTTTGTGTTTTCGTTTGTGTTTGTTTTGTGTTACTGTTATCTTTGCGTTTTTTGTGTGTTTTGGTTGGTTGTGTTTTGCCGGGTTTATGCTGATTACTAAACACACAAGTTATGGTCCTTTACAGATACGTTTTTCAAAGTTGACAGTGCAGGGCCTGGCCGGGACGGCTAGTTTGTATTAAGAAACAAATAAAGCAGTCCTAAATGTGAACTTGTTGCTATTAAGGACTCTTTCAAATTTATTAAAATGTAATAAAACGCATTATATTTTAATGGGTAAACCGTAAATTATATGTAGCAATTAGAACAGAAATAAGGATTTAGAATAACATTGAAATGTATCAAGAAATTTTATAAACGTAAAACTATAAATCAGGTATTTTCAATGATTTCAAGTAACGGGGGAAAATTATAACAATGAGAAACATTACACTGGAACTAAAACTAAAAAAAAAAAACTGACAAGAAGGTAAGTACAATTGCACCACAGTCTCCGAAAAGACTAAAATCGTATTATATTTTATACCGCTTAATTTTTTTTCCTTGAAGATACTCCAACCGTATGATCGTTTCTGAAAAGACTAACTATGTATTATATTTTATATAGCTAATTTATGTTTAATGTGATCAGGTTGTGTTTAATACAATCAATTCAACAGAAAACATTGGTGCAGAAATGTAGATGCAATCGTTGGTATATATTTGTATGCATGTTTCTGCTTCAAAACTTAAAATAAAAAACCTATAAAACTATAAAATCAAGCTACACAAAACTTATGCTAACCAATTATTACACAAAATACAATTGATGTATATAAGTTTTATTTACATTCATTGTTTTATATATAAAATAATTAACCCATAAATAAATTCATGAACCCAAATTAATGTTTATTTTTAGTATAAACTGTAACTCTAATTTTGATATTTATTTAACAATGGATGGTTTAAATTAGAATAATAAGCTGGCTCAAAATATTAATTTTACACAGTGATACAGTAAACTTTCACAAAATGTTGTAGTCTATTTTAAAGATGAAAATATATTAAATTTTAACAAATGATATTGTTTTGTCTATCTGCTAAATCATACGTATAACAAATATCGCATTTAAATTTGTCGGAATCGAATCAGTCATTTTCGGTGATGTTTTGGTATATATGATATTGTTAGGTTTATTTTATATGATTTCAAAAAAAAAATTATTCCAAGTTTTAGTTATATTTAAACAGGTATTTTTTTATTATTTATATTATATATATATATATATATATATATATATATATATATATATATAATATTATATATAGAGAGAGATACAAGCGCATTTCACCACATAAAACACTTATTCTCAGGGTTCATGGTTGAGTTGATCTTACAATCGAAAGTTCTAGCAAAATAGTTAGAGTTGCAGAGTGGTCCTTGAACACTGTTTTAGAGTAACAAAAATTCAACATAATTTAATAATGCGGATTATGCGTTTTTGTATCATGAACGTGTGTGTATAGATTATACAATATCTACAAAAAATTTGTATGAAAACATTACGTTGATGTAAGTTAACGGTACTCAACATATTCAATATAATTTATGTCCTATACTATGTTAGACGATCTTGATAGAAATTGACTCTGCATTTAAAATATTAAAGAGTAAGGCAAGTGTACACACCGAACGTTGCCCATAGCATGTGTTTCGTATTGTAAGATAAAAGGGTGAAAGCCGTCTTTTACTTTAGAGCACCATAGCTGAAAATTATGAATAGAATTATAAAATCTTTTACTAAGTTTAGCCAAACTTAAAGCATTTAAGTATATAAAAACTAAATGAAAAGCTAGTTAAATGACACAAAAATGAAGAAGAGGTAAGATAAGGTTTAATAATTTAAGCTTTTTCGAGTAGTTATTCATTTTACCTAAAGGTAAATTATGAAATCTTAGTAGATTATTGTACTTATTTTATTTTCAACGATAGGTAAGTATTATATTGTTTACATTTATCGGAGAATGAAAAATAAAATATGGCTAAATTAAAATAATTATATCTGCAAAGCTTTGAGCACAAATTACTATTATGTTTTTTATGAAATGGAGTTTTCAGAATATTAATCACGGAGTTCCTGTAGAGTTAGAGCCATAAATGTATGCACTACAAAAGTGAAAACTTATGTCATAACTTAGGTTTGATAAAAATAAACAGAAATGTAGCCTTAAAATAAAAAAATAAAACTGTTTTCTGGATTTGCAACTTCGATAACATTTATTTAATATTATTACATTTCTGGATTATTTTCAGGCTTACATTTTTATTTTTAATGTTAGTTTTTGGTCTCTTTGACTGCAACATAAAAAACCCACTTTTTTAATACATTTTAACAATAACGATTGGAAGAATTCATGTTCATTTTATTATTTAAAATCTCCTTTTTTACGTACCGCATTGCAGTTTACTAATCCAATTTGAATTATATTTTCCAAATTTAAAAACTAACCAAAGGAAAGTAATTAGATTATCCTCTAATGAAATTTTAATCTTTGTAAACTATCTTTTTTACCAATTTTAATTTTTGTGACTGATAACCAATGCATTTTAATTCGAATGTTTAATGAAAAAAGTAACCTAACATTTTAGAAATTGAACACTTAGACATCAAATTAAATGTATGTACAAAAATAAAAACCTGAGAAATCCAGCACAATTGTGATCTTGTGAAGTTTTAGTATATTCAAATAAATAAAAAATCGAAATCGAGATCAGTTTAGAAGAATGTAGTTTAGCAATTTTATCTGTATGTCTGGGTGTCTGTGTTGCTGCCTTTTTGTAAACACGATTCAATTAAGTTAACAAAATAGCATTTATACTATAGGTATATCGCATTTGTAGTTCAGTTTTGAATTTTAAACGATGTCCGGTAAAAAGAAACGTTACTTACTCTGCTTACAGTTTCAAAAAGCCTATTCCTTTGTAATAGTATGTTTTTGTTTTTTTTCTCAAATTTTGACAATTTTTTGTAAACGAAAGTGATACTTTTTTGTAGTTTTTTGGGAGAGCTATAACTTTGACGAAATTTCACATAAAAGCAAAAGATCTTATAGCTAACTCACTTTCAATTTTTGAGTTACCTCCATTAACGTTACTCTATTTCTGGTTTCTAAAATACCGATAATTTAAGCACCGTTTCAGTTAGATGGATCAAATTTTAAACATAAGTATGAATACTTATTCTCTTGATTCTGACAAATTTTTAGTGAATTTGTTTAAAATAATATTGACGCTATTACCAATTCATAAAAAAAACCCGTAAGAAATGTTTCTTTATCAAGTACTAATTTTCCGATCTATAATACACTCTATTTTTGCGTTCAATTTGGTAGGCAATTATTTTTTTCTACTTGATTTTATATTGCATTTTAAAATTTAAGCTTCTGTCTTTTAAAAAAGAAGAAACATTTCTAAAACCCGGTCGGACTGGAATTACCTTATCCCTTACTGTTAAATAAGAATATGCGAGAAAGCTAAGGGGTGATTACTCACGCTTTATTTTATTAGGCCCCAATAAAATATTGTTTTAAATCTTTCATAACACAATATGTTTTAACAAATCAGCATTAAAAAGCATAACAGATGTACTCTAAATTTTATGAAAATAAAGATAATAAAATATTCAATTAGCTTTTTAAAAATGTAAATAGCGTTTTACCTGGGCAAAGCTAACGAAGAAAATCTGGTTATGAGTGAGATTAAGGTCAGGTAACTTTTCTTCTTCCGCACCTCTTTTTGTTACCCATCTTCTGTAAGCCTGGGTATGGAATTGAAAAAAAAGATGATAACAAATAACGTTATTTTCGTTCGTAAACGTAAACGTAAAATTAAATATTTATTATCTATATACAAGTCATATTTTTAAATAACGGAAATATGTATATTAAGGAAATATTTTTATAGCGAACTATTATTGAAAAAAAACAACTCTTTTTCTGTCTGTCTCTCTCTTTCTATCTCTCACCCTCTCTCTCTCAGGTATAAGGATCTAACCGCACCAAGCTATGCTCATTTCTTACGTACCAAGAAGCTTTGGTCTAACCCTGTATGATCAACTAAATTCTCATTGAGGGTCTTGTAACCATCCACCTATTCAAAACCACAAGTGAATTATGAGCATTTTAATGCAAGAAATTATATCAACATTCCATTAATTCAAATACATGGAAATATTCCAATCATTATGGTGCTTAGTACAATTATATGTTTAAATATCCGGAATAAAAAGTTTTCTTCTAAAACAAAACAACTATTTTTTTAAATAAAAAAATATCTGAATTTTATCTCTTTCTGCTTGTATGATAAAAATAGTTTGTGGATAGATTTAAATATAATTTACAGGAACTGAAAATCTCAAATAAAATTGTGTTTTAATGCAATTTGCCTGTAATCAACAGCACCTAACATCACCAATGGTGCCAATTTAATATTATTTTTCGTCGCTAAGTACTTACTTCTTTCCTATCAACAACTAATGTGATTGGAAAAAAAATGTAAAAATATCTTTAAGAATAGTTAGATGTCATGTACAATTAATACGCTCACACATATACATGAGTACTTATATAAACCTTTCTTGATATATATATATATATATATATATATATATATATATATATATATATATATATATATATATATATATATATATATATATATGTGTGTGTGTGTGTGTGTTTGTGTGTGTATGTGTGTATGTGTGTATGTGTATGAATGAGTGTTGTGTGTGTCTCTGTGTGTACAAGCAACTTTTTTTTTCATAATAATTTTATTTTTAAAATTTACTTGGTGACCTTCCCAGTTGTAAAAACTGTATTGATGAGCATAGCAAGTTGCAAGATATTTAAAGATATATTTGTCACTCCAAGTCCACCAATCATTTAGTTCTCCATTCTCATCATATTGTGAACCTTGTAAAGTTAAACATGTTATTTTCATCATGTTGTTAGCTTCGTCAATGTATAAATGTCATTGTTAACATAGTTTGCACCGTAAGAAGGTAAACATATAATTTTATTGTGTTGTACACAACGAGAAGGTAAAAATTTTCTTTTCATCATGATTTCCATCCTGTTAAGGTAAAATGTTATTTTTATCACTTTAACTTGTAAAAATAAAATGTTATTTTCAATATAGAATACAATTTACAAGTTACTTATTAATTTTTATAGTGTGAACCTTTAAAGTTAAAAAATGTAATTGTTAAGCACGTCTTCATTTGTTTAAACTAAAGAACATTAATTCGTCAAAAGTACTTATTCTTCAATAGATTTGTGTTCCTCTCCTATAGAAACAAGTATAATTTTTTTTAATAAATAAAATAGGTTGTAGTTATAAAAGTATAGCCTCCATTTTTTACTCAAACTATGCTTTAGAGAATATTAAGTAAATTATATTCGTTTTTTGTTGGTAATAACAACGAATATTTTTTTTTTAAATACAATTCCAATTTTACTTATTAATTATTATTTAAATTATTAACCCTAAATTAAAAGAAGAGTGGTGTTTCTCTTTCAAGCAAAACCAACAAAAAAACACCCCACATCTTTTAAAATACCGTTTAAAAATTAGAAATAATCTCTGTTTGATTTCGTTTCTCACATGGTTGCTACACTCACCCGCAGTATCAAATCCATGGGATATTTCATGACCGATCCCTGATCCGATACTGCCATAATTCATAGAGCTTAAATATTCAATAAGATTTTAGAAATTTAAAATTAATTTTAGAAATATCATATTTAATATAAAGTTTCTGGATTTTAAAAAAAATGCAATAATTATAGACAAATACTTCAAATATGTATATATATATATATATATATATATATATATATATATATATATATATATATATATATATATATATATAATATTATATAGGCCTATGCATTACTTTATTTATTATTTTCGATATTGTATATTTAATACTTTATATAAAGTCTTCTTCTTTTGTTTATGGCAATTAGAAGAAATGCTATGCATATATAAACGCATTACCTTGAGCCCATACGATAGTAAAATGGTGGTTGTAAGATTCCAGCAAGAATAACTAAGCAAATAGATACATTAATAAATACAAATTTAAAAATTCTCGAGATCATTTTCAATCTTTAAACAATGGTATTTATTTGTTTGTGAAATGTTATTAAATTACAGATTCTCTGTAAAATAATTTGGAGGTAACTTCAATAAACAGAGTTTCTTTTAGGCAAAGATGTCCACCCCCCCCCCCCCCCATTATTCGCTCCGGACGTAATGAAAAAAAATACAACCCAATAGTAAATATATATTTTTTAAAGTATTAGCTTTAGGGAAATTCATATTCCCTCTACCCCCTGGTAATTTTAAACATCCCTCTATCACTGAGAGATATCTGAATGAAATCCTTGTAATTAACGTGTGATTTTGCGATTGCGTGGTACAGTACTGTAAAGCGATTGCGTGGTACAGTACTGTAAAGCGATTGCGTGGTACAGTACTGTAAAGTGATTGCATGGTACAGTACTGTAAAGCGATTGCGTGGTACAGTACTGTAAAGCGATTGCGTGGTACAGTACTGTAAAGTGATTGCGTGGTACAGTACTGTAAATAAATCACGAATCAATTTAATTTAGCACACAGAAACGTGGATTGTTTATCATTAACTTGACTATATTAAATAAAAAATATAATTACACCGAGGGTTAACGTACATATGCTGTTCCTTGTAGGGATATGGTAAGCATGAGCGACAGATGTGGATACGGGCCACCTGTAGATAGCAAAAAAAAACTACAACTATTTCAAACATTATTAAAATGTTATTATTTCAAAATTAAATATAATGCCTTATGGAAAAAAAGCCCTGTCTACAATTGTTCTAATATTTTTCTTACTTCTCCGGGTATTCTGTCTCCGCTGCAAGTAATTTTAAATTTTCCAATGCGCTGCTTTTAACCATTGTTAGAGACAACTCGAAAAATCCGAGCGTTTCAAATCCGGGCTTAAAAACCTGAGGAGAAAATTTGGAAAAAAAAAAAACGGCAGTGATCTCCCCTTATCTTTCTCAAATATTCTCATATAACTCTACGGTGGAAGGCACCTCGGGATATAGACACTATTTTAAATCCATTTTTAATTATTTAAACTTTCTAAAATAGAATAGAATCTTGTAGTAAAAAAAATGCTCACTAAGTGAACGCCAAACAAAATATGTATAATAGTGCGGAATATTATTTGTACTTTATAAATTTACATGCTTTTTTTGAGAAATCGGAAATAGCAAAAAAAAAATTACTATTTCTGATCAACGAAAATTACTCAAAATTTGATAAAAGGCAGAGAATAAGATATTTTACTTACATGTGAAATTTCATTTATCTACCTGAAATAGTACTCAAGTTAATACTTATAAGTTAAATTTTATCAACCTAGCTTTAACAGTACTCAAGTTATCGTTTTTACAGACACACATTCACACACAGACATACGAACAAGATTGAAAAACTATGTTTTTCCGACTCAGGAAGTTCTAAAACGTCAAGATTCGGAAAATCTCATTTTTTTTTACACGATTACAAGACTATTCAAGATATACGAGAAAGTAATAAAGATATTTTTTTTTTACTTTCTCGTATACGAAGTATAGAGTAAGTGCAAAAAGTTGAAAAAAAAAACCATAGTTTTACAATCTTGTCTGTAAGCCTGTGTGTGTGTATGCATGTATGTCTGTACGTTAGTGAACACGATAACTTGAGAACCGTTACATCCAGGTTGATGAAATTTCATATATAAGTATTATGTCAATTATGTAGTTCAGTATCAACTTTTCAGCGATTTCCGTTAAACGGGAAAGGGAAGTTATTCTACTTTTGGTTTTTAAAAAGCCAATAACTTTAGTACTTTTTAAAATAGATAAATAAAATTTAACATATAAGTAAAAGATCTAATTTTTAGCCTTCTTACATATTTTGAGTAATGTTTGATGACCGGAAGTAGTAATATACGCTATTTCTGAATTCTCAAAAAACGAATTCGAATTTATAAAGTACTAATATTCCGCACTATTATACACATATTGTTTGCCGTACACTTGGTGTGCAATTCTTTTTTCTATGAGATAATATTCTATTTTTTAAATTTTAATTAGTTGAAAATAAATACCCCCCTACAGTTATTTAAGAATATTCGAGAGAGTTTAAAGGAGATAACCCCCGCTTTATTTAAGTGTAATATTGGAAGTGATATCCTGTAACATAATTACGTATTACGTTTTATAACATGACATGTCCCATATGGCTCGTCGACTCCGATTTTGTCTGGTTTTGCTTCCCAATCTTTTTTGTTCATCAAAGAACAAATTGCAATGGAATGTTTATTTGATTTTGGATTTTCTTACCCCAGCTATCGAGACTCGTCTGCGCAAGGGTTAGAAATGTAGACTATTCGGTTTAGTAGCCATGACCGTTAACGACCCGACCACATCAGCCCAAGGGTTTAGCTTGAGTTACAAGATTTGCAACAAACACACGAACAAAGAAACGGACATTATGAACTAAGTGAAAGCTTGTAAAAACGACTTACATTAGAATAGTATGCATTGAGTTTATTATCATCTAAAAGAGATTCTGGATATCCAACATTGAAACCCATTGCTGATAGCTAATGTAAATATATATATATATATATATATATATATATATATATATATATATATATATATATATATATATATATATATATATATATATATATATATATATATATATATATGTATATATATATGTATGTATGTATATATATATATATATGTATGTATATATATATGTATGTATATATATATCTAATATATAAAGCTTAATTCTGTATGTAAAAATACATGTTTGTCGTTGACATACTTCTATGGATTAAAGTGTTAGACTATTACCATGCACATTTGTCTAAATTTATGAGTTAAAAAATTACTATTGAAAGTGTTAGGAAATAATTTTCATTTTTTAAACTGATAGATAGTAATAATTGTCGGCATGTTCATTAAACACAATTTTTAAACAATATCATCTTTTACAAAAACTCTAATTATGTCTTTATTTAGTCCTATAGCACTTACTTCCCTTTGATAAATTAGGAAAACACAATTACTTCCCTTTGAAAAACCATTGCATTAGTGGAAAAGAATTTACTTTTTATTACTTTGTTTTGGTGTTGGGAAAAAAATAATTACATAATTAGCGGGGATTGATCAAGTGCAAATGTTGTAGGTATTTTACGGATAAGCTTGGAGTATTATAATTGCTCATTAAATTGAAACAGGCGCGTTCGTTTAAGTGAGTGCAAAAACTATGAATAAGTTGGGGTACTATAGTCGTTTATTAAGCTAAAACAGGCGATTCTGCCCCGGGCGTTTATGTTTGCGTTAGTGTTTTCTTTGTGTTTAGGTGGGTTTGCGTTAGTGGTTGCGTTTTGATTTGGTTCGTTTTTGTTCTTTCTTTTTTTCGTTTTTGTTTGTGTTTTTTTCTTTGGGTTTGTATTTGTGTTTTTGGTTGGTTTTGCGTTTGGATTTGGTTTGTTTTCGTTTGCTTTTTCGTTATTTTTTTGTGTTGGTATTGGTGTTTGTGTTTGTTGTTAGGTTTTTGTTTTCATTTGCTTTTTTGTTTGTTTTTTCTTTGTGTTTGTATTGGTGTTTGTGGTTGTGGTTGGGTTTGTTGTTAGGTTTTTGTTTTCGTTTGTATTTGTAATTGTGTTAGCGTTATGTTTGCGTTTTGTTGTTTTGGTTTTGGTTGGTTGTGTTTTGGGTGGGCAATGCCGGGTATAGAATGATTACTAAACACACAGGTAATGGTCTTTAACAGAAAGGTTTTATTACAGAAGCCAGAGCAGGGCCTGGCCGGGACGGCTAGTATATATATATACATACATACATATATATATATATATATATATATATATATATATATATATATATATATATATATATATATATATATATATATATATATATATAAATTGCTTTGTGATTATAAATTACATAGAACTTATAAAACAACTTCTTAACCTTGGTCTTTGCTCGTGCCTTTGTTTCGTTGGACAGCCAAGTATTTTTATCCAATATCTCGTGAAAAGTCTCAGTGATATTATGGATCATAGCCATTACCTAAAAAAAGTGATTTTTCAGCATGTTCATTTTTCTTTTTTCATCTCAATATTTTAAAATTTTATTTTCATAAAAGAAAATAATTTTTTAAAAGCTGTGCATGCTAATCCGATTCATTGTAATATTGCATGATTTAATGCAAATTTTATTGCTTAGGTACACATGCTATTTAATCCAAAACTCTTGACTATTTGCTAGAACATATAAAGCTAACAAGAGTAAAAAAAATATATATGTATATTTATATATAATATATAGTATATACAGTATATAGTATATATAGAAATATATAAATATGTATATATATAAATATATGTATATACATATACATATATATATATATATATATATATATATATATATATATATATATATATATATATATATATATATATATATATATATATATATATATATATATGTGTGTGTGTGTGTGTATGTACAAACACAGAATACAAACATAGGATGCTCATTTCCGAACTGATCGGGTTAAAAAAAACTGATTTTGTTTTTCTTTTTCAATTAAAACAGATTTCAACAGCATGTCATTTGTGTGTGTGTGCGTAAGTGCATTTGTCTGTTTTGATAATTTCGGTTTCATTGTTTGTTTGTTGTAATACTTTCTATCTTCCAGCCTGTCAAATGAAAATAAAATGTGAAAGCTTTGTATGTGAAATGGTTTCTCTTGTTATGTTTATTTTTTATGTTTTCTTGTCTTTATATTGTTAATTTTAAATAGATTTCCGTTTTGTACTCTGACATTCTTTAGTATGTTTTTTTTTCAAATAATAATTTAAAAGGAGCTCATAAGCACCCCTATTTAACTATTTAGAAAAATGGAAATAAGTCATGGAAGTGTTTTGAGCGTTACCCTATCTTTCATACTACAGCTCATGCATATACTTTTTACGCAACAGCACGTGTTAGCTAATGTATAACATCACTACTGTGGTTGATCTGTTTGTTATATACAAAATAGGGGGGGTCTTGCATTTTGTGACGATGTATGACGGAGGGGAAAGGGGGGAGGTAAAAAATCATTTATGGATGACCCCAAAACAAAAATAAGTAAATGTATATACAACCGAAATTATTGTCATTATATTCTTTCTGATTATTTCTAGAATACAGGATAGTACAGATTCGTAGTTCTACCAAAACAAAATAAACCGGGAGTGATCTCCCCTAAACTTTCTCGAATATTCTTATAAAAAATAACAGGGGATGGGAACTCGGGCTATAGACAGGATTTTTAATCCATTTTAAATACTTAAAGTTTTAAAAATAGAATAAAATCTCGTAGACAAATTAATTGCACACCAAGTGAACGCCAAATAAAAAAGCGCATAATAGTGCGCAATATTATTAGTACTTTTAAAATTTACATTAGTTTTTTGAGAAATCGGAAGTAGCGTAAATTACTACTTCCAGTCAACGGAAATTACTCAAAATTTTACAGAAGGTAGAGAATTAGATCTTTTACTTACATGTGAAATTTCATTTATCTATCTGAAATAGTACTCAAGTTATAGGCTTTTGAAAAATTCAAAGTAGGAAAAGTACCAGTTCCGGTTATCGGAAATCGCTCAAAAGTTGATACGGATCTACGATTTTGATAAAATACTTATATATGAAATTTCATCAACCTAGCTGTAACGGTACTCAAGTTATCGTGTTTACACACGGACACACACACACACAGACAGACAGGCACACAGACATGCGGACAAGATTGCAAAATTATGTTTTTCCGTATCAGTGAGGTGTAAAACGTCGAGATTTGTAAAAATCTCGATTTTTTTTTGCACGATTACAAGACTTTCTCTATACTTCGTATATACGAGAAAGTAAAAAGTACATTTTACATTGTAAAATCACAATGGATTGTGGGCCCCCCAACCAATGCTCTAAAGAAGCAAAAATCGTCTTAATATCTAGCAACCTCTTTTCGAAGGAATTTTGCCGACCACATCGTGTGTTTGATTGTAGGAGAAAGAGGACTCTGCTTTCACAATGGTTTAAAAACAAAAGGAAAAATAATATACAAGAGCGTGGTATGGTGTCTATAGAATAAAGATAATACAATCGCAGCTACAGTAGTCATTTTACAAAAAACCATCAAGTCAAAAATGCAAAAATATTAATTTTTTTAACTATAAAAAATTGATTACGGTCGGCTGTGGGCCCCTACATTGCGTGCCCCCCCCTCGCATTGCGGAGTCTGGCTGTACTCTAGTTCCGCCCCCGGTGTACACACATACAATATGAATTAAATATGTAGCCACGCAAAACTATGCTATAAAGTATCATCGTAACATACAATATTAAAATTGCTCTACAGTCAGAATCAAACTCAACTTCTGCAATCGGGTTACAAAGAATGTTTTTGAAAATATATTCCTTTTAAAATTTTAAATGAAAGTTAGACATAACTCACGGAATCTTTATCCTCCTTTCTGAAGTGTTTATCCACATACATCCGATAAACAGCTTCTGGGAGTTTCTCCTGCGTAGTTTTCAAGCACTGCAACCACCGTGTACTAGTAGTTTTTTTGGATTGATCCTGTAATTGTGAGTAGTCGAAATTTCTACAACAATAGGAACACGAAATTCTACAACATCCTATAGACTAAATTTGTACAACTATTGGAACATGACATTTCTCCACCATTACACAAAATTTCTACAACATTAGATAAATATAATTTTACAACAGTAGGTGTACGAAAATTTACGACATTAGATAGATAACATTTTTACTACCCTAGGTACACGAAATTTATATTCTAATTTTTATTCAAGACCTAGATTTCAATGTATGAGTTGTGATTCTATTGAGTGGTTTAACGATAAAAAATAAAAGAAAGCATACGTCTGAGCGCATGGAATAATTTAAAGTTTAAATCTTATTGACGTTTGAACGGTGCCTTAAAGTAAGTTAAACAATGCATTTCAATACTTTATGAGTTGTGAGCACACGGAACCGACTTTTGGGTGATCCAGTGCTTAGCGCAAAATATAAGACGAACAACCACAAACGGGTTACAAAACACCATACGAAATTAAATAAACGGCTCGTTAATACTAAAATAGTTCAATATTTTATATACTAAATACTAACCACACTAAAGCAGTCTATTCTAAACACAAAAAACGATCGCTAGTACAAAAACTAAGATACAACGGCTAACTAACCTTAAAGAAGTAACCTACACTAACCTTTGTGAGATATGAACAAAACTGAGGCAATCCACGCGTTTTCACACACCTTTTATAGCATTACACAAACCAGACTGTCACAACTCACAAAACGAGGATTGAGCAGGGAGGAATGGGGCAGGGTACAATGTATAAACAACATTCACCCTCATTCATCCCCCTTCACACATCTACTACATATGTGAACACACCATGCAACAGTGAGTATATCTAACAATTGCCAGGATACCTAGTAGACATAAATAAATACATACTGCAGGATATTTGTTATTTAACTCCATGAAGCGAAAGTCCAGAAGTTCAGTAAAGGTAAGCAGGCGAGCCATCATGTAATTAGCCAGAGCTCTGGTAATAAAAAAACCGACAATACATGGAATTATACACCCAATCATGGCTTTTATTATTGACATAACACACATACACACACAAATATATATATATATATATAATTTATCTATGGTATTTACATATATATATATAATTTATTTATGGCATATATATATATATATATATATATATATATATATATATATATATATATATATATATATATATATATATATATATATATATATATATATATATACAATCATGTAAAACATAATTTTTGAAACTAATAGAGCATGTTCTATATTCTATTTCCTGACCTTTTTGAAGTGGATCTCAGTAAATCTGAAAGCTGATTAAAGTACCAGTCTCGATCCAACTTAACTGTGTCCGTTGATTCAATGACGATATTTCCTCTTGCCGCAATCGTTTTAAACACCATCAAGCTAGAAATAGAAATAGTGCCAGTGTTTATGTCTGCTGAAGGAATATTTATATAGCTAAAGGTGTTTATGCTAAATCTACTACGTTCTTAACGATTTAGCATTATCATATTTTTAACAGCATGCACGTTTAAATAATACTTTCTAGTGGTAGTATCGTTGCATGCTAAAATTGAATATTACATTGTTAACACAACACGAAGAGCAATTTTATTAACCAAAGCTCATTATTTCTAAATGAATGAGATATTTAGGTTTTGTTCCTGAAATTCTCGCTTTTCTGTATATTTACAAGTTATGACAGTTATTATAAAAAAATAGCAAAAACATGGCTCTTATTTTTCAATGGATATAAAATTTAATATCTGAGTCTTTATAAGCTCTGCTGTACTCATATAACCATGCCGGATATTGTGGAGAGAATCATGCCGGATATTGTGGAGAGAACCATGCCGGATATTGTGGAGAGAACCATGTCAGATATTGTGGAGAGAACCTTGCCAGATATTGTGGAGAGAACCAGAGAACCTTGCCAGATATTGTGGAGAGAACCTTGCCAGATATTGTGGAGAGAACCATGCCAGATATTGTGGAGAGAACCATGTCAGATATTGTGGAGAGAACCAGAGAACCTTGCCAGATATTGTGGAGAGAACCATGCCAGATATTATGGAGAGAACCATGCCAGATATTATGGAGAGAAACATGCCAGATATTGTGGAGAGGACCATGTCAGATATTGTGGAGAGGACCATGCCAGATATTGTGGAGAGAACCATGCCAGATATTATGGAGAGAACCATGCCGGATATTGTGGAGAGAACCATGCAGGATAAAGTGAAAAGGAACCATGCCAGATATTGTGGAGAGGACCATGCAGGATACTGTGGAGTGATTAGATACGCTGGAAAATATCTTCTTTTTAAAAACACTCCAGAAAATATTGAAAGCCAAGGGGTTAAAAACTGACCCCAAGCGGCCCCTCTTTATAGATGCTTGTGTATTTTAAAAAAATCCCATTGAACTACGATTAGTTCTAGATGGCATTCAGAGAGAGTCCGAAGAATATCGACCTCTTGTAGGGGGGGGGGGGGGTGGTAAAGGTAGTTGAATTTTTAAAGAAGTCAAGACCAAGTGCTGTATTTCTCTGTTTTAATAGACAAAGAAAATGTCTAAAAACAGTAAACTAAGCGAATGTTGATGTTACTTTATAGAGGAATAGGCTTCGAATATTTTGATTGGACTTTGCTAGTAACAGTACCGAATCAAATCAATGTGTATACATGTAAATCACCGTAGAGTGAAATGAGAGTTCGTGTAATCACAGTCGTGTTTTGAAATCGTCAACGACCCATGAAACTTCGTAAGTCGTCAAACACATCGGGAAAAAATGTAAAGCTAGTTCGAGAAATAACGATAAATGTGTTGAAAATGAACAAAGATCGCTTGATTTTTGCAATTCGACAGGGATGTGATTCTTCAATATATTTTACGACTATCTGGGGTTTGTACCAAACAGGTTGGTGGTAGAAGGATTATTTCTATTTACCGGCGGACAACTTTCTGTGCATTATAAATTAAGCTTTCCTTTAAATAATTTATGTCACGACAATGTTTTATCTAATTTTAGTCACGTTGAACTTATAGATTTTACGAATTTTTCCCTCAAGATAAAAATACCTTAAAAGCATACTATACTTTGTTAAATTGTATCGCTGAGAACTGTATGTTAATAAACCGGAATTATTTCAATTCAATGTTTAACTAAGTAGCAGGCTTACATCCTATATATATATATATATATATATATATATATATATATATATATATATATATATATATATATATATCAGGTCTGTTCCTAAGTGATTTTAATAGCCTTATATCAGAAAGCGATCAAGCTACCCATTCATTAAAATGGAATTCAAAATTTTACTACAGTAAAGTCTTAGCCTATCCATCTTACATTAAAAGGCACTCCTAGTTTAAAGATTATGTTCGAATACATTAAATTAGAAATGCAATGTGGAAAATATATCTTCTACCCATTTGTATTTCTCTTGTAGTTGATCGATGGAAATCGGGTAAGCAACCGTAGCTGATGAGTTATACAGCGCCTGGGAAAGAATTCAATTCAATGATCCTCGGAAAGCTAAGGGAGGTACATAATTTTGAATCTAAATCTAAATACGTTAATGTGTTAAATTGTTTATATTATGAACAAAACATCTTGGAATACTTATAACATTGTACTTTATAAAACTATTGTAGTGAGCCCACATATCGTTTTTGCAATTTAGAAAAAAAAAAGAAAAATATGTTCTTTTAACGATAATGTATGTTTTGACGCTTTATACATATTTAGAACACTAAAAATGATAACGTATATAATTTTCGTTGTGATTAGATATTATAATTTTGTAAAATACTGTCAAACAAATGTGATTTCTTTCTTTAGCAGTTTTTTCTATGCAGTTAAAATATGATAACAATGATAATGACATCAAAATAATTATGATAATTCTAGACGTTTTTATTTCAAATGCTAATGATTGTAGGCATTATGTTATATAAACGCGACGTCGAGTTCGAACGATAGAGCACACGAATGCTAACCTACTTATCTCGACTTCTTAACCCGGGTTTAAGTGAGTAGTACATCCCTGAACCCACCCATCTCTGAATAGCACTTGAATCACCTTAGGGAAACAGAAGGCGGCTGGGTAAAGGGCTAGTAAGTGGGTCACCAACCAGTTCTACGGCTCAATTAAAACTTGCATGAGCAATCGATCTGTTTATTGACCTGTTTATCAGCCCTATGGCGCGGACTACACTATATGACGAGGTCAAACAAACAGGTAAACTCTACGTCATCTTTTCCCAAGGGTCAGCAAGTTGGAAAACAAATTTTTGTTCACAATCGAGACAAAGTAAACATCCAACCGATCATGTTATTGAATGTGAAATACGTATGTCGTCATTAGAATTCAACCTGGAGAACTGCGAGCTTGACTGCATTCATCTCTTCAAAATCTCTATTTAAAACATCTTCATTTGCACCAAGAAGACGCAGCGCTTCCATGACGAATTCTCGGTTACTGGACTCGTTTCTGTCACTCACAACATAGTATGGGAAATCAAGCTGGGGGTAATGATTTTTGTTATAAGCACGTTTCATGGATTCGATAAATTTATTAAATTGATTACACGTGAAAGTATGTATGTTTGGTTCTATTGATTTAATACTGAAAATATGAGTTAATGATTGCAAATAAAGGCACAATAATATATATATGGATGGATGGAGTAGTGATGTATGAGGATGGATGGTGATGGATGGGTATGGATGAGGATGGATGGTGATAGATAGATGGATATGGATAGGTATGGATGAGGATGGATGGTGATGGATTGGGATGGAATGGGTGTGGATGATGATGGATGGTGATGGATGGGTATGGATGGGTATGGATGATGATGGATAAGGATGTATGTATGTAAGGATGTATGTATGTATGTATGTATGTATGTATGGATGGATGGATGTATGTATGGATGTATGGATGTATGGATGTATGGACGTATGGACGTATGGACGTATGGACGTATGGACGTATGGACGTATGGACGTATGGACGTATGGACGTATGGACGTATGGACGTATGGACGTATGGACGTATGGACGTATGGACGTATGGACGTATGGACGTATGGACGTATGGACGTATGGACGGATGGACGGATGGACGGATGGACGGATGGACGGATGGACGGATGGACGGATGGACGGATGGACGGATGGACGGATGGACGGATGGACGGATGGACGGATGGACGGATGGACGGATGGAGGGATGGACGGATGGATGGATGGATGGATGGATGGATGGATGGATGGATGGATGGATGGATGGATGGATGGATGGATGGATGGATGGTTGGATGGATGGATGGATGGATGGATGGATGGATGGATGGATGGATGGATGGATGGATGGATGGATGGATGGATGGATGGATGGATGGATGGATGGATGGATGGATGGATGGATGGATGGTTGGATGGATGGATGGATGGATGGATGGATGGATGGATGGATGGATGGATGGATGGATGGATGGATGGATGGATGGATGGATGGATGGATGGATGGATGGATGGATGGATGGATGGATGGATGGATGGATGGATGGATGGATGGATGGATGGATGGATGGATGGATGGATGGATGGATGGATGGATGGATGGATGGATGGATGGATGGATGGATGGATGGATGGATGGATGGATGGATGGATGGATGGATGGATGGATGGATGGATGGATGGATGGATGGATGGATGGATGGATGGATGGACGGATGGATGGACGGATGGATGGAGATACACCTGTATTCACACAGGCGGCGAAGAAGGTCTCCACCGACTGCATTAAAGATTTTCTTTAAACAGAATATAATGCAACGAATTTAAATATAATCCTGTAATACTAACTATGAACGTTTTCTTTTGGCCTTTGTCTGCATCCACATACAAACTCATGAAGGGCGTCAAACCTAGTTAATACAAAATGTACGTTAGAAATTAGTTCAATTACAAAATACTTGTGTATTGGTACGTTTATTTTTTTTAATTTCTTTCTCTACTTTTGTTTTTTCCCAGCCTCCAATACATATAGCATATGTAAATGTCGCTTTATTATAAACTTTACTCTGTTTGACACAGTACGTCTATTACTACTAACAAACAATTCCAGTTAGTTTAATGTTTCATCATGATTTAATTTAATATGTAACATTTTTAAATTGATTAATACTTAACACATATGCTTATGTTTTTCTAAAATAGATTAGTAAAATATTATTCGCCGAAGTGTTAGATAGTAAGAAATATCTCATAATGAAGAGTACATGCATTAGGCCTATATATTTACCTACCTAATTCGTGTAATTTAATGACTAGGTCTTCCATGTTAAAATCACTTTCACTCCACAAGCTATTTATAACAGGGAAACCACCGACTGTGCTGATTAGATCTAGAAAAGGCTTAGCTCCCCTTTCGTCAATTAGATCTGGATCATATACATATAATGTTATTCGATTAATTCAAGGGCTTATGAAATATGAATCCAATCCATTTAGAGCTATTTACAAGGCTAACCATGGTTAATCGGTTAATCTATCTACGAATAAAAAGGTACAAAATCAAAACTTGAGTCGTAAAGACCAATGGGATAATATTATTTTTAACAATAGGCCTTCGATGTGTAAGAATGTCTTCTAATACTCAATGCAAATGTTGTCAACTTTTCTATATGTCTGTGTGTGAATGTGAACACGATAACTTGAATATCGAAATTTTAAAATGCAAAAAAAAACAAAAAAAAAAATCTTTGATAGAGTCTAATGCGTATTTGTGTATTTATGATTTAGTTTGGGGTCATTTATTGATGTCCAGAACTAATTAGAATGAAATACAACCTGTATTCACACAGGCAGCGTAGAAGGTCTTCGGTACTGCTTCATAGAGTGGGTCGCTTGCACGGGTTTCGTTGCTAAGCATATCTGTGAAGTCAGTGCAAGTTTATCTAAATCTACAGTACGTTATATGCCTTGATCTGATTTAAACAATGCATAGTTTTATAAGCTTTCCGTTATTCAACTATGTTTGTTTGTTTGTTTGTTCGTCTGTATTTTGTAGTAACAATTTTGAACCGATTTTAACGCAGTGATTTAGTACAAACTCTCTAGTAACATTTTTTTCGAGGACAATGCAATGTAATTTTATTATCTAAAATTAGATATATGATTTAAAAAATAAAGACCTAACGATCCTGTGGGCAGATGAAGTAGGACTCATATGTATATATATATATATACATATATAGGCCAATATATATATATATATGTATATATATATATATATATATATATATATATATATATATATATATATATGTATATATATATATATACATATATATTTATGTATATTATATGTATGTATGTTTATATGTATGTTATATGTATGTATGTTTATATATATATATATATATATATATATATATATATATATATATATATATATATATATATATACATATATAAATATATATTTATGTATATTATATGTATGTATGTTATATATATATATATATATATATATATATATATATATATATATATATATATATATATATAGCTAAAATTTGTAAGAGAAATTATTAGTTAAATAAGCTTTTAAAATTTATTTTAAAAATACATCGAAAGCTTGTTTACATTAATTAGAATCATCGTTATACATTTGCATCATACTAAACTGAATAAGTGCGTGAAATAAATAGGCTAACAATACTAAAATATATAATTTTGCTACCATTTTATGTTAAAGTATAAGTAATGAAACTTAATTAACATATTTTATTCTTTGCATCAAAAGACATTTTAAAAAATTAATGATCAAAGCACGTCAGATATTTTTGAAAACAGGGTTATGGATTTTTGACGTCTAGTATTCACAAGAAGTTTCGTTGCTAAATTATTGAGTTGGGATTTCGATGTTAGTTTTGGCCCTTTCATGTGTGCCTCCCCAAGCCCGAATATCAAGTGAACAGGTTGCTTTCTTATAAAGTGTGCATGTATGTGAGTGTGTGTTTGTGGGTACGTGTGTGTGTGTTTGTTTCAAAAAAAGAAAAAACACAATGACAAGACTGCAAAAATATATCTAAAAGGAAAGAATGTCTCAGTAAAAAACATATATCCGATATACAAAATTAATTATAATGCGAAAAAAAACCAGAATAAAAAATATTTTAATATACTAAAAAAAGGCATTTACCCTTAAGTTTGGATGTAGAGTCTCTATCAATAGTCGAGAAGGAACCAATCATGAAAGAATCATCAGGAACTTGTACGTTGTCCAACCATCCACCGCATGAATACCGATAGAAGTCTTCGCATGGGTCCACATTCAAATCCATTTTGACTTTTATTGTTCTTGCTATATTGAAAAAGTAATTACTGTGTTAGTAGTACAATAAAATAGGTCTCTGTCAATTGACTATATAAACTGAAGAATACCACAATAACACTATATACATATACATATATGTATATATATATATATATATATATATATATATATATATATAGAGAGAGAGAGAGGCGTAGCGAGGTCGGGGCGGGGGGGGGGGGGTGCGGACCACAACGGATGACACCATTTAGGGGGGTGACACCAAGGCAAAAAGTTGCAATATGTACAGACTCTAAATAAACATCGTTACTATAAAGTCTGCAGTGATTAAAGCATACACACATACATGTACCCGTATGTAGGCCGACACACACGCATATAATATATATATATATATATATATATATATATATATATATATATATATATATATATATATATATATATATATATATGTGTGTGTGTGTGTGTGTGTGTGTGTGTGTGTTTGTAAATAAGGACCAGATTTGTAATTGTTACAAAATTTACATAAGATTAAATTGAAACAGTAAAAGATTAATTTTTTATTTTGGATACGGAAAAAGCCGCAGACTGAACACAGGGCAATATAGAAGACAGTGGCCAAAGATGTTAATACAGGACTGTACTAAAATTGAAAAGAAATGTAAGGCTGTCTTTCAGTTAACAGTTAAAGATAATTTAGGCTGCCTATTTCACGATGTCTTCAATGAACACATCGCCACTGTTGGTGCGTTTTGTCCCGGAAATGTCAGATTTTGTCAGCAAAGTAATGAAGCCTTTTTAGTGATCTTGAACATTGACTCTGGGTAAGATCATAAATGGTGTCATGCTATTTCAGATGGTAATTACCGCTCCACTTAGTGTGACGGTGTTCCCTTTCTCATGTAACACGATGGAGCCCACAAGTTTTTCAACACTTCTTTGCTAGTTGTCGCTGTGACGTTTGTACAGTGGAACACCCCTTTTCGTCAATGTTTCAAAAGCATTCTGGCTGAAACTTAATCCCCCATTACTTTCTCCTCATTATCGAAGAAGAAGTTGACGTTGGTTTTGTTGAATGTCTGTACGCGAATGAGTGATGTTGCCTCCGGTTTCGCAAAATGCGCATGTGAATTTATAAAGTACTAATAATATTCCGCATTTCTAAACACATTTTGCTTGACGTTCACTTGGTGCGCAATTATTTTTTTCTACGAGATTCTATTCTATTATAAAAAGTATAATAATTAAAAATGGATTTAAAATATTGCCTATTTCGTGAGTTGCCATCTCCCGTAATGGTATATAAGAATATTCGAGAAACTTTAGGGGAGATCACTCACGGTTTATTTACAATTTTAATACCCAAATTATTCATATGATTTACACAAAAAAAGTCCGATATATGCTCCTATAAACTTTCACATTTTCTCTTAAATATAGAAATAAACATTGGTCACAAAAAATCTTACCCGCCTTCAACTTCATACACTGGTCACTTTCACAGACATCAACATCTGGTGGTTCACTGGACGGGGCTATAACGTGTATATATATATATATATATATATATATATATATATATATATATATATATATATATATATATATATATATATATATTTGAAATAAAGTAATATTGATCATTAAAAAGTCCTACGTAAACTCGATGATCCTATTGTTTCAGATGTTTCCGTTGTCTGAAGTGGGGTGGTTGGAGCTGTTGAATTGATAACGTATATATCTATGTCACACATTAGTACACGAAATAATATACATGCACATAAGTCTATAAATATGGGATATTTGTATACATATATATATATATATATACATACATATAAATCCGAAACACTATAATGTCATATATAATATGCACATTATACAAAAATCATATACTCTATGCACAAAAATCATATACTCTATACACAGAACTATGTTTGTAACGATACAGATTTGGAAATATATTTTTGTTTAAGATTCTTTTTTAAGTTTAAATCATTTTTTGTTGCAATAAAAAATAAGTCTGCACAACCAAATAGTGCATTAAACTGAATACAATAGAAGAAAGCCAACACAAGCTACGGGAATGAACTTATATATTTCGAGTCATGCGGTGTTTTTAAATTTGTTACGCCCACTTTATAATAGACACTTCCATATTTTTTTTAAAACTAACCTATATATATATATATATATATATATATATATATATATATATATATATATATATATATATATATATATATATATATATATATATATATATATATATATATATACAGTCTTAATTTGACAAGGTGTTATAAAACTATTGTACTAAAAATTAACATTATCTTTATATACTTCATTAAGAATCTTATTTTTCCAACACGTTTTAAAATGAACTTACGATTTGTACAGTTTTCGCCGATGCATGGACCTTCACTTGCTAAAACATTTGTTAATTATGATATTAGTTTTTAATATTATTACTAGTTATTAATGATTTTTAACAATCTTCATAATTTAGCACATTTATAGAATCGTTAGCCTGTGTGGAAACGCATACTAAATATTTTATTTTATGTTTTGTTTTAGATTTTCAGTGGTCTAGGTCAGTTTTATAATGATACAATTCCACGTAGGCACCAGAAACACAAATGATAGATACAGCTTTTTATACATAGAATATAAGCTTCCGGCGGTACAGCAAACACAAATGTATGCTAAGAGTTATCGAAATTACTTCGGCAAGCTTCATCTAAAGTATTCTCCAATGCGTTTATATTGTTCATAATCCGCATTGATTAGCTGTTTCGTTAAACTTAGCATCAGTATCTCCATTTTCTGTTAAAAGATCTTTTAAAAACTCGCCCAGTTATGTGAGGCAATGACAATCGTAATCAAAACCCTCCAGAAATACTTTGTGCCAAATTTTGTTTTTCTACTGGTAGATTATCGCAATGTCAATTACGTTTTCTTTTTCTTTAAATTGATAATGTTTTGAAATATCAGAGTACAAAATCGTTCTTGCTGTGTCATCTTCTTTACTTCGCTTGAACCGGTCAGTTTTGTATCTTTATCTGCAGCTTGCTGCATCCTTTGTAGCAACTGGTATTAATTAAAATATAATTCTTGATAAATAGGACAATAAACAGTGTGTCTATTCATTGTATGAGACTGCTCAAGTAATCACCAAACTGCTTTATATGCACTTACAAGTGAATCAAAAAAGTATTTTAATTCAATCATGGTTCAAAGCATTCTCTTTTTTATGGGTCGTCCATAAATGACGTCACATTCACGGGGGGGGGGGGGGTAGAGGGGGTCCGTAATTTTGTGACGGTGTGTGACGAGGGGGAGGGGGGGGTGTTCAGATGGTGCGACGTCACACTTTTGCATTATAGAAAAGCAATGTTAGAAAACGAATTTTAGACGTTATTTCTGATGTTTTAACAAATTGCAATTAGAATTGATTAAAATAATATATTTTGACAGAGCTGAGATACGATTTTGGAAAAATATTTATGTTTTAAGAAAAATTCAACTGCGATTTTGAGGTGGGGGGTGGGGTTGTAGGCTGAGGTGTGACGTCATTTTAGGGCGGGAGGTATGGCTTTTTTGACGATGTGTGACGGAAGGGAGGAGGGGGGAGGTAAAAATCGTAAAAAAAAAAGCGTGACGTCATTTATGAATGACCCTTAGGCACATGTGTACAATTATGACCTTTGTAAACATATTTAAAAAGATATTTGTTACTATTTTAACCGAGGCATACATTTCAAGATTTATTTTGAAATTGTAATTTAAACTGAAATTAGAGTTATACTGTAAATTAATAATAGTATCTCTCCATGAAGTTTTTATAAAATGCTATCCAAATAGCTTTAAAGATAACATTTAAAAAGACATAAGGTGGGCTCTTTTTTTGAGATAATATTTCTCTTTAAATAGTTGTGGTATATATTACGCATATATCAACATATATAATATATACAGCATACTAAAAGTATAAATTAATAAATACAACATTAAACATTAAACATAGATATCAAAAGTATGCACTTAAAATATACTTACGAATCTAATATTTGCAACAAGTTTTAGAAGTGAACTTACAGTGTGTACAGTTTTCACCGTTGCCCGCCGTTTCATTCCCTATAAAAGAATACTTTGTTATCAATTGTGCTAGTTTACCTAACGCTGCTTATTGCAGACGAAGAAAGAAAAAAAAATTACGATCCTTATTCTTTAGTACATTTATTTGATTCAATTTTTAAAATACATTTTACTTATTATATCTATTTCACATTAAATGTGGTATTACTTAAAATTTAAAAATAAAGTCAGTATTAAAAGTGTAAATGTTTTGTTGCTTTAGTAATACTCACCAGCATTGCTGCTGTCTGTTTCGGCCGCTGTTAAAGATGACAAAGTCCTTAATACATTCTTTATAAAACATGTTATGACTTTAACTAATCTATAATTGTAAGGTATCTCAAGGTACCTTCTGATATTCACTTATCTTTTTATTATTAGGTACCTTCTGATATTCACTTATCTTTTTATTATTACAAAAATGTCTAATTTTCTTACAGTATAAAAATAGTTGTTATAGTAAATTATTTTAATTACAGTGTGCTTTTTCGAACTATATTTTTAACGACGCTAGTTTCAGAACAAATGAGTAGAGAAGATAATCTTTAAATATTACTTTTACCCTTTTTAGAGGTGTCTTTGAAGAAAGTAAAGATGAAAACAGCCATACAAATTTCGAACAGAAAGATGAGCGAAATAACAACCAACGGCTTTATGATGTTCATTCTGCTGGTATCTTGCGCAGATGAGGTTACCGTATACCTTATTTATTTCTACAGATGCCCATGGGCTGGAACCTGAAAAAAAAGTTTTTAAACAGAATTGGAGATTACAAGAAATAGACATAAAAACCCATACCTGCAACTGCAGCTACACCTACGCCTTCACCGGCACCAGCATCTACAACTAAAACTAAAACTACAGCTACAGCTACAGCTACAGCTACAGCTACAGCTACAGCTACAGCTACAGCTACAGCTACAGCTACAGCTACAGCTACAGCTACAGCTACAGCTACAGCTACAGCTACAGCTACAGCTACAGCTACAGCTACAGCTACAGCTACAGCTACAGCTACAGCTACAGCTACAGCTACAGCTACAGCTACAGCTACAGCTACAGCTACAGCTACAGCTACAGCTACAGCTACAGCTACAGCTACAGCTACAGCTACAGCTACAGCTACAGCTACAGCTACAACTACAACTACAACTACAACTACAACTACAACTACAACTACAATAACACATTGACACAATGTCAAATTTTCAAACTGTCGCTTGATCCAGTTTTTAAGAGACACATTATCAAATTGGCAGCTGTCAAATCTGTAGACTGTTGGACACTACTGATTTCACCCAGCTCTATTGGGTACCTGCCATGTGTGAACAACAACCACGAATCAACTCAGCTCTAATGTATAACACAGTCTAAGAACTTAAATTTTAAAATGGCGATTTGGCATAAATACAATAAAAACAAACTCTACTTTAGCTGCTGCATTGGTAGTCTTAGAGTTTACGCTCAGGGCGAATGTTATTTTATTAACTGTCTACAAATATAATTAAGTGCTAAACGCTGGTTTATGTGTTCGGTTAGACTTATGTGTTGTGTTGCTTATCATACAGATCTAGATATTAACTTAAATCTCACCTCTCATAGCTTGTTATAGTAATGGTTTCATTACGTTGCTATTGGCGTTCATTTTGGAAAACATTTGAGGACTTATTTGAATTTCCGTTTTTATTTTACTTTTCATTATGGTGAGAAAATCAGTAATTTTGAAATAAAAGTTCGTAGAAAAGTTAATTTTTAATTAAAGCGTTAAATAGTCAAGAATTTTAATCAATTTTTAATTACTTAAACTTTAAAAAAATACAATAAAATCTATAAGAAAAAAAGAATTGCGCACCAAATGAAAAGCAAACTATATGTGTATAATTATGTTGCGGAACATGTTGCACTTTATAAATTCAAATGCGTTTTTTTTTTTGAGAAATCGGAAATAGTGTTATGTACTTCTTCTGGTCACTGGAAATTTCTTAAAATTTGGAAGATAACAGAAACTTAAATTTTTATTTATATGTAAACATAATTCGATTTATCTATCAGAAACAGTACGCCTATTCATGTTATAAAATTTTGAAAAAAACGTAAGTAGAAAAAATTCCACCTCCAGTTATCGGAAATTGCTGAAAAGTTGAAACAGAACTGCAAATGTGAAATAATACTTATAACTGAACTTTCACCAATCTAGCTGTACACCTCAGTACATCATCACATACGGAGTAAAGGGGACTTATTTTAATCGCGCAAAAATTATAAATGCAGACGTATAAAAATTTCGGCGTTGTATGCCTATTCGAGTCGGAAAAACTGGGTTTTGCAATTCTGTTTGTGGGTGTGGGTGTGTGTGTGTGTGTGTGTCTGTAAACACGATAACTAGTGTACTGTTACAGTTAGCTAGATAAAATTGTGTATATAAGTATTATATCAAATTTGCAGTTCTGTATCAACTGTTTAGCGATTTCTGATAACCGTTGTGTTATAAAAGAATATTCAAGAAGTTTAGGGGGATCACTCCCGGTTTATTTTAAATTGTTAAATAAATTAAGAACGACAAGTTTTATTGCTTTAGTCACTCACACGACAATTATTGTTTTTGAAACTATCTGCTGCTAAACACTTTGTGAAAATTAAACAATTGATCTCACTGGAAATGTTCTCAGAAAAAATATTGATAATTGGGCTTAAAATGTAATATTTTATGAATGTTGGAAATCATACGAAGAGGTTAATTTTTCAAGATGGCGACCGTTGTCATAGTTACCAAAAAAATTTGCCAAATCATTTTTAGCGGAAATGCATATTCGGTTGTACCGTAAAAAAGTTGTAGAGAAGAAATTGTTTGCTCTCTAGTTTTAATATTTGTTTTACCGGAGCCTACCCCCTTAAACAAAACAAATACACATTTTATCTTTCAATCGAGAACTCCATTTGTAAGGATTACTTCACCAAACATCAACGTTTTCCCTGTTGTCAGATTATATGTGAAATAATCATGATGGTTCTTTTATCGATGCGAGTAGCTTTAAAACAGCTTTGTAGTTTAAGTACTGATGCCTTTCGGTACAGTGAGGTTCTGAAAGCTAAATGAAGTCACCAAACCGTTTGTAACAAGTTCAGAAACGCTGGTCTTTAGCCTCAAATCTAAGATATCAAAGGTTTGCTTCTGGAGCAATGCCAAGATCTTTAATTTTTTTTAAATTTGAGATTGGTTTTATTTTCGATACATATGCCTCATATTTGGAGAATTTTACTCGCGGTCACTTTTAGCCTTCGTCTGACCGGCAGTAGGTCTTAGCCATTTATCGAGGTGCATGCAAAATATTAGCCTGATGAACAGAGGATAAGTACCCTAAACAGTTTTCGTAAAATTTCCCTCAGTTTTTCAAATAAATCACAATGATTATACAGGGAAATGCAACTGGTCAGCTTGGACAGATTTCCCGATTTTTCTCATTTATCTGGCACCCATGGACATTGGTCTGCAAGCTCACGATATACCAGTGGGGTTCATTAGGGGAAAAGGTTTTTTTTTTCATTTAAGTCGCCGGTCAATAGCGCTCACATTTTTAGCCCGCATGGTTTATGTAGAGTTTGGCCGATTTTTTGCCGCCCTCTTTTGACTGAATGCGAGCGCTTGAAAATTTGAGGCGCCCATGGCAGCGCCAAGTGGCACACCGGCAAAGAAAAAAAGTTTATTTAGAATATTATGCAAATTTATAAACTTCTGCAAACTAAAAAGAGTGCATTTTGTTTGTCAAGATAAAAGTTTTAATGCATTCTGAAATATATGTAGTGCATATTTGATTGATATAAGTGCATAAATAAAAAAGCCTTTTTAAAAGAGTTTTTAAAAGCACTAACAAATTTTAAAATTGCGGAGGTTTTTTCGGGTTGCCATAGTCTGTCAAGAGAGAGGGTCAAATGTGTATTGCAGTTATACTCGTGGGAAATGGCAGGGTATAAGAGCTTGTACGAAGATTGGCTTATTTTAATTATAATTTTATTTATTTTTTGTTTAAACATTTAATTGGTTCTCCCTGTTTCAGTACTCTTTATTATAATGAATCATTACATTTTGTTTTAAGTAATTAATTTCGCGGTATTGTGTGTGATGTTCCGTGGTTGTCAAAACAAAGTTTAAAAGCGAATATGTTTCTTTAAAAAATGTTATTTTATATTTTAATAAACGTAAATGTGTAGTCTAAAAAATTATTTAAAAAAACCTTTTGGCTGATTTCTTGATCAATTAATAAGTCACAGTAGGCCAACTTACTTTCAACACTATGTAATAGATTAAATAAATATATGCATGTAAGCATGAAAAAAAAACACAATTAATGTTTTGGATATTTTTTATTACATACGGTGCAGCAAAAGGCGAAACAATTATTCTATGAAATTAATTATTAAACTCAAATTAATGTTTACATTTTCATTTAAAAAAATATAATTATAATTTTAATACTTTACACCAGGGGTCTCCAAACTACGGCCCGCGGGCGGGATGCGGCCCGCGATGTTCTCTTATCCGGCCCGCGGAGATCTCTTTGTCCACGGAAAAACCGTTTGTTGGTAATGACAGGAACTTTGCCCAAAAAAATCAAAGACATGCCTGGAAGAAACTGGCCCCCGAACTGAAATTTTATAGTTAATGCGGCCCTCGGACAAAAAAGTTTGGAGACCCCTGCTTTACACCGATAGATAGTTTACGTAAAAGATTTACTTGTTTACAATATGATTTTCAGACAGCGAAACAGTAAACTTTCAAAAAATACAGTAGTCTAATTGTAAAATAAACATAATTGTTTTTACAAAAATATTGTTTGTTATTTCTTAAAGATTAAATATTTTTAATTCAAACATATCGCACGTCGATCTTTTCATACTATACTTAAATTGGATGAGCTTGTTCAGTTTTTTTTTATGATTCCAAATTATTTTATTTCCTAATTTCCAGTACGTACATGAATATGTATTTAAACAGAGAACAATGCTTAATAAGCTATTATTGGGTGGCTATCCTAAAAATTTAAAAATTTAATTGCTGTTTTAATGAAATTATCACTGTCAATAAATGTTATCTAAATTTTCACTAAATTTTCTTCCTTTACTTATTGATCTAATATATATATATATATATATATATATATATATATATATATATATATATATATATATTGTAAGATAAATATACTCTTTTGTAAAATAACAGAGCATTCCATCAAGATAATCATTCAGATCCTGGCGATTATTTAGCATTTAATACCTGAAATATTTAACAATAAGTGTAGTACCATTTTTATTTGCTGAGAACATTTAATGTAAGAGGATAACTTCAAACACACACACACACTCACACACACACACACACACACACACACATATATATATATATATATATATATATATATATATATATATATATATATATATATATATATATATATATGAAATGGTATCTGTGTCTCTGTATGTATGTTTCGGACGACTTGCATATCGTAAAAATCTCAAAAATTTAAAACTTCCACAGGCAGAGAGAATGATGTCAAACAAAACTAACAAGAAACAATCTAATCAAGTCAGATAAAACGAAACTTAGGCTCCTATAAACTCACGAAAAATGAAAAGCAATGAATGACGTCATTAGCTTTCAATTAAATATATAATTGATCGTCAAATTTTGAAATACACTATAATAATGATGTCATTGATAATGAATAATAAGGATAGTAACATTACCTACGCAATTTTCTGTCTAATATTAAGTGTATGTACGAGAACAAAGCGGAAAAAAAGAAAAACAAAATGACGAAAAAGCATAATAAATAATATCGTAAAGATTTAAAATATTCAAAAAAAGTTAGATATAATCAAGAAAAAATGTCATAAATAGATTTAAAATGTAAAAAAGTAAACACTTATTAACATAAAACAAAGTTTCTTTTTTCATTTAGTTCTAGGTCTTGGTGAGGCTAATTGTGAGCAATAGGTTCAGTCTAGCGTATCGTCTAATATAAAGGGGTGGATATTTCGGTTTAGTAAATTGATATTGGCCTGTATCATATATATCTATGTTTAGAATCCAAATGTAGAAAACTGGTCTTGGTTGTAGGTGACCTAATTTCCGCAATTTTTAAGTCTTCATAATTTAAGTATATTGCATTGTGTTCATCGCAGTTGTTATTTAGCTTTTTATATACGAACTAACTCGCGACATAGCATAAGCCGCTATTTATTTGTTGTATTTGTTTACCACTTATTCATAATAACTCTTTCGACTCTTTAAAGAAGATCAGTAGAAGTGGTTTTAACAGTTTGCCTTTTTTCAATCTACAACTTATTTAGTTGCTGTTTTTCTTTCTCTACGCATTAGTATATGCTAGTTACTGTAGAACAATCACTGCTGCAGCCGATTAAATTTTTGTTTTCACAAAACCACTAGTTTATCTAGGTGCAGAAAGTTATTTTTTGGTCTGATTTTGACCGCCCCCCCCCCCCCAAACTGCCTGCCCTCTCCCTCCCCCTGCCGCATTGCGGGTTCTGGCGGTTTAGTAGTTCCACACCTGTAATTAATTGCAATTTTGAAAAACGGAATAATCCACAGGCCATGGACATTGGAAGCGTTAATATTCTCAAGGAAATAACATGTGGCACATTATCTTCCAATTTTGGTTGTACTATATAGAGAAGGACATCTGATCGTGGCATATGCTTAGGAAGCTACTAATTGAAGCTCATTGAAAAGATCATCCGCATCAATATCTATATTGGCGTTCTGCATCAACGATATTCCTAAATGTTTGCAGTCAGTGTGTAAATCCACAGGTGTCTTTTTGTTGATATGGGATATATCATAGAGGCAGCCAAATAGAATATTATGTTGTTCTAATTGTTGGAACCTTTCTTCAAATAAACTGTATCCAAGATATTATAGTAGCAATCTACTTTAAAATTCTGTTTAAGATCTTGTGGTGACAACTATTAATTTTATTTTATTAATTACATTTAATAGGAAAATCTAAAGTTCTCCAAGGAGACTTAAAAGCCCTATTAAAAATAAATATTGCACGTGTTTTAAAACCTCGCGTCATGCGCTAGAGCGATCACTGAATCAACATTAAAATTAGACAATCATCTGAAATGTTAGAAATTAAAAGATTTATATTAAATACAATAATTATTTCATTGTATTACCAGAGACGTGGCATGAGAGGGCGGGTAGGGCGGCTGCAACAAATGCCGACTCAAATCATTATGGACTTCTTTTAATTTGTATGCATCAGTTGTGTGACACCAAAATAAAAAGGCAAAGTAACTGGTAAACATCAACCCGACCTTTCCAAATGAGCGGGGGGGGGGGGCTCATTTTCACCAAAGCGAATAGCTAAATTTATAGGCCTGAGGAGGGGACGCAAAATTAATAATTCTTCATGGGCACAGAAACAGATAGCTACGCCTTTGAATATTACCCTTTCTTTAGTTTATATAATATAATCAAAAGTATCAATTATTAAGTACTGTTTTATTATAGCAGTTACACATTTTGCGCCCCGTATGGATAGTGCTCTAGGCTACCGCCTAGTTCTTGTTATAGGTAGCGCCGGCTCTTGCCGCATGGTCCCTCCATGATGAGAATTATATTTAAATAGATGTACTTCTGTATTTTCCTATTTAGTATTCATTTAACATTCGGAAATACAAACGGGAATAATGGTTTTAAAAAATTTGAAGTTTTTATAATTTAAGATGCTGCTATTATAATTCAGATTTTACTTTAAAAAAAACCTTTACAGCCGCTTTGTTTATTAATTATTATTTATTATATAGCTATTCGAGTACGCATGTTTTAAAGAATGGTTGAGGCTGTAGCAAGGGTTTATGTTAATTTTTTTTCTTTATTTTGTGTTTTTTGTGTTTGCGTTTGTGTTTATGTTCAAATTCGTATTTGTTTTTGAGTTTGCAATTGCGAATGTCTTTGCGTTTGTGTTTGTTTTTGTGTTTATTTTTCGTTTTGTTTTTGCGTTTGTGTTTGTTTTCGATTTTGCGTTAGCGTTTACGTTTGTGTTTTTGTTTTGCGTTTGTTTTTGTGGTTCTTTTTGGGTTTGTGTTTGCATTTACGTTTTACATTTGTGACTGCGTATTTGTTTTTGCTTGTGCTTTTCTATTTGTTTGCATGTGTATTTGTATTGATGGTTGTGTTTGGTTTTGGGTTTGTTTGTGGTTGCTTGAGGTAAAGGTTAAATTTAAAATTAGAGTTAGGGTTATGTGTGATTTTCTTAAATGTCTATATTTGCAAATAGAAATATAATTGAAAAGTTTATATTTCCTAATGTTCAATACATTTACAATATTATAAAATATGGTTCTTAAAACTTACATAATGCAAATTAATTGTACATATCAAATAGAAAACACTTTTTCTCAGGATTCATGGTGGAGTTGATCTTACAATTGAAAGCTCTAGCAAAATACTGAGAGTTGCTGATTGGTCCTTGGACGCTGTTTTCGATGGGAAAAAAAAATAATTAAATAATGCTGATTTTGCGTGTTTTTTTTTTGCGTTATGAGCTATGTTTGTAGACTATAAAATATGTACAGAATTATATGTTACGATTTCAATAGATAATAGTAAATTGTAAGCAAAATATACAACTATGTAATATGTTGGACCAAATTGATTGAATCTGTTGTCGCAATGGAAATGTTATAGTTTAATACAAACGTTTCTTACCGAACGTTTCCATGAGAATGTCGCTCGTGATTTATAAAGTGTTGATATACTTCCTCTCGTACTTTAGTGCACCATAACTGGAAATTGGAAAACAAATTAAAAAAATATTTTACTACCTTTATTGAAGTGCAAGGAATGTATAGCAGGCAAAGTTAAACGGCAGCTAGTTCAACGATACAGCAAAAACGTATTGTTACAATTACATATAAAAGATCTAGTTCTAGCGGATGATTACATATTTTATCAAAACATAAAACATTAAGAATAGAATGTTAGTAATAATTATTTAACTTTTATTGACATGCAAGTATAGTTTAAGGCATTTATGCCTTTTTATGTAAATTATTCACGATACGTCGGTAACATATTTTGATCGCGAGAAGAAATAGACCCGGAAGTGATCTCTTTCTCGAATATTCATATAACATTACGGGGGATGGCAGCTCAGGATATAGACATGATTTTAAATCAATTTTTAATTTCTTAAACTTTTATAATTAAATTATCGTAGGGAAAAAAAAGAATTGCTCAGCAAGTGAACACCAAACAATCTGTGTATAATAGTGCGGAATATTATTTGTACTTTATAAATTAACATGCGTTTTTGAAAAATCGGAATTAGCGTAAATTACTACTTCCGGTCAATGGAAATTACTCAAAATTTGACAGAAGGCACAGAAGTAAATTTTTAAAATTATTTTTGAAATTTTGTTTATCTGTCTGAAATGATAGTTAAGTTATAGGCTTTTGAAACATCAAAAGTAGAATAAGTTCCACTTTCTTTTATCGGAAGTAGCTGAAAACTTGATTCAGGACTATACATTTGATACAATACATGTATATAGCTGTAACGGTACTCAAGTTATCGTGTTTACAGACACACACACACACACAGACATACGGACAGAACTGCAAAGCCTAGTTTTTCCGATTCGATTACGCATGAAACACTGAAAATGTGATACATTTGCATTTATTATTTTTGCCCTATTAAAATGTCCCTTATTCTCCGTGTATAATAAAATAATGAGGTGTAAAACGATGAAAACTGTCAAAATTTCATGTGATTTTTGTGCACTATTACAATATTTCCTCTATACTCTGTATAAAAGACAGTAAAAAGTATGGTTTATTAATGTAAACAAGTCGGGCAGGACGGGCGCTTTGATAGAATTAAGAAGAAAATAGAGGCGTGGGCGCTTCTATATAGAGAATAAATTATTCCCTTTTAGATTGACTTCATTGATATTTGTACATTTTATAACATAATATAAGACCATTGTTCACTTTTCTTTTAGTTATAACATCATATAGCTTTAGTTAGCATACACAAAACATTTTTTGTTTTAAATTTTTAGTGTTTTTTATTAATTTATGTTAATCTGAGATTTATATTAAAGGCTTTTATGTAGCTTGAGCTTGTTCTGTATGTGTGTTTATGTGTGCCTGGCTTTTAAATAGACTTGTAGTAAACTATAGCTAATTTTATATACCCGTTAAATGATTTTTCTTATTCGCATTGGGATTTTGTAATTCTTTTTTTTTATTTGGAACCAATAACATATTGTTTTAAATCTTTTATAATGGAAGTGTTGAAAATATTTGTATTAAAGTAATAAGAATTATTTTTTAAAAATTGTAAATTAAAAAAAAAACCATAAAATAGAAATATACCTGCGCGTAGCTAACGAAGAAAATCTGGTCATGAGTAAGATCAAGGTCAGGTAACTGTTCTTCTTCTGCACCTTGAATTTTTACCCATTTTCTGTAAGCCTAGATAAGGTATCCAAAATAGGTAACAGCACAAAACTTAGTGTTGTCATCTCGTCCTCTTCTAAATAATGGACATTTATGTTTTAAAGGAATGAATTTATTCAGTACTATTTTTTTTAACTCTTACTCTTACTCTTACTCTCTCTCTCTCTCTCTCTCTCTCTCTCTCTCTCTCTCTCTCCACCCCATACGAATGGCTATCACTGTCTCTGTCAATGATCTGATCACTGAGTAACAAATAGATATACCAGCACTTCCTGTATGGATCAGCCGACTAATTCAATGATAATTGCTCCGACTCTAAGCATTTTGAATCTATAAATAGAATAACAAAAGGAAGGAAACGAAATTTTAAACTGATTTCCGCCATTAAAAAATAACATGAAACCTACAGTTCACGACACATCGCATAGGAAATTAAAATAAATATTAGGCCTATAGGTTTAATAAATATTGCATAGAATATAGAAATTTAGATCTAGTGTTCTGGTTAGTAGTTATTTTATGTTTATTAGAATATAGTCTAGAATCTAATCATACGGCTGCATAAAAAGAAAGTTTGAAGGAAATAGAATAGGAATCTAGAGAAGCGGAGGTAAGAAGGTTAAATTAGTAATTTATATGATTTTTATTGTAGTTTCACTGTTTGTTAGGCCCAATTATTAAATCTTTAGATCAGGGGTCCAGCTTGATCATGTGTGGTATCTATTGTGGTGCATTGGAATGAAAAGCCCACATACTTAAATATAGAATCTAGTAGGCCTATACTATACTATAACTGTACTGCCATACTTTAAATTTGTTACCACAAGAAAAAAGTCTATTTACTATTATTAGTTATAATTAAATTAAATTGAAATATTTGTTTATCTTTATAGTTTATAGTGAATGCATGCTAATGAGCATTATTCAAGCTGCTGTTATATTTAGGCTTCTAGGCCTATATACTCTATAGCTTAGGCTATATACTATACACTATATATTATATACCAATATTGTGCATAAAACTTAAAGCATGTAAGCATACACAATAATAATTATCATTAGACCAATAGTAACTAAGACTCGTACTATTTAGTACTACTTTAATACTACCTTTAAAATATTAGGCATAATGAAATAATGATTAATGATTTCAGTGTTTTCCGCACTCGAGAGGAAAGAGTTTGTAGGGAACTTAGAGACTAATCTTTGCCAACATACTGGATTTCAGGTGATGACAATAGCAGCAGATAGTATGTGGCTCAGTTAATACTAAAAACAATTTATTTTAGTAATTAGTGGTAAGCTCTTTTTTTAAATAATATAATATTATAACATGGTATCGCAAAGGTTCAGGTTGTCCAATAAATGGTAATTAAAGTCAGGTTTAAGACTATAGTTTAATGCTTGGTTAGTAATATGCATCAAGGTGGGAAAGACATAGAAATGGAAATACATAGAATTTAATGTGTTCATTCGCAAACGTTACTATTTAAATTTTTTTAGGCCTGCTATTTATTGCTGAATAATAAAATCACTATACTTATCCACTATATTATGTTTAAATAAAGTGAGTTTAGATCAGTCGAGTAAATAAATTTAATAGCAAGACTTATCTAAAATTTACAATATATATATATATATATATATATATATATATATATATATATATATATATATATATATATATATATATATATATATATATATATATATATATATAAATTTGATTGCTATTTTATAAAAGTATGTAAATCACAGAACAAACATTACTTTGTATTGTGTCTACAACTTAACAAAATGCTACTACTTTGATGGATTGCACTAAATAGGGGTTAGATTTAATTTAATAATTTGTGAGATATTCTTGCTAATCTATGTGTAAATTGCTTTTCAGGACTATGAGTGTGGGTTTGGCCATCCAGATTTCATAATTCAATTACAAGAGATATTAAACAGTCTACATGGACTATACACTGTGCCTAGTTTCATCCTCAGGTAACTGTACTATAGGCATAACCCATTTTAAAAAATATTTATTATAGCAAGAGATAGCATTATGTTATAATAAATATAATGGATTTTAATCCAAAATATTTTATTAATTATTGTCTTTTCTTAAATTCTAATAAATCAGTGAGTTGTACAACATAGAGGGTATTATATTTGAATGATAATTGAAACACATATTGTTATAGAGCTCAAAACTATCTACTTATCTAATGTAATTAATATACTGAAACAGTTTTATTGAAGCATATTTTTTCATATTTTACCATACAGAGACTGATGTGTAAGCTTAAAGTAAAGACATCAAATCAAAGTATCAGCCATCAAGAGGGTAAATATTGATAGTCTACTTCATTAATCTTCAATATGAATGAACACAATTTTAAATCTATAATCTTTGCTGATAATGTTTGTTTCTTGTTATTCATCATGTTCAGTGCTTTATCTTTTCAAAGTAATTAGTTATAGTAAAGAAATAGTAGAGATAGTAATATAAATTTGTAATGTATTTCTGTTGCTAGTTCCACAAAAGAATATATCAAAATATTTTGTCTTTATTTCATTTACAGAAGAACATTCAAAATCATATTGTGATACACAAATCAAGCAAGTCTATGACCAGCATTATGATACAGGCCAAGAAAAAGCTGGATATTTGATTGAAAGGGTGGCACAAAAAAGATGGGTTATCACTAGGGAAACAAGCTCGGAATACAGTTCACTGTTGGGACATCAAGCCAAATACTTCTAAACTTATTTGAATCATTTTTGCTGTTTATTATAATTCATCCAATTGTCTTATTAAATATATAAATTTATATATATACACAATTCCTAATATAGAATTTCTAAAAATGTTTTATTATAATATTTAAAAATGAAACAAACAGGTTCCCAGAACACAGCCACATAATGTCAACATGTTCCCAGAACACAGCCACATAATGTCAACATGTTCCCAGAACACACAAAATGGCAACATATTCCCAGAACACACAAAATGGCAACATGTTCCCAGAACACAGCCAAATAATGTCAACATGTTCCATGAATTCACAAAATGGCAACATGTTCCCAGAACACACAAAATGTCATTATGTGCCCAGAACACACAAAATGGCAACATGTTCCTAGAACACACAAAATGGCAACATGTGCCGAGAACACAAAAAATGACAACATGTGCCGAGAACAATGCCCCTTACAGATGACATGTTCCCAGAACACAGCCTGTAGTTGGCCTGCCATAAAAAGTTAACATTACTTCACTTTTTCCTTACCAATTTTACAGGCAGGTAATAAAGCCATAAATCTTTGGTGGATATAGCCAATAAAATAGGGTAACCTTCACTATATGCAATTTGTAGTTTTCAATGCCTGTCCCATGCATATTATTTAGCCTAGCGTTTTGGGTCTTGCTTCATTTACTCAATAAATTATATAGGCATGAGAATTTTCATTTTAATCTGCAAAAGCTACATTCTGTACATTATTATTTTCAAATTACATCATATATTTTTCTCTTCTCTGATAAAAAATATTCCTCATATTGTTTGTGTCAAGTATTTTATTTTTATCTATGCAATACTATATTCCTATTTTATAATAATTACTTTTATACAAATTCTTTTGAAAACTGTTCTTTATTGTTTTGTATCATTTTCTTTATTTCTGAAAAATAAAACTTTGTTTGGGAATCCCTTTTTTTTTTGTTTCTGTACAAATTAATAAACATAAATACCTACCAGGCTTAATATCCAGCAACATTAAACAATTAAGTAGGGCCTATTGTTAGTAATGGTAAATTTTATACTAATTAATGTGATTTCTCCTGGCCACCTTGTTCTGAATACCTTCAACTGTGTCAATGTTGCTACCAACTCCAATAATTAAAACTGAAGCCATTTATTATGAAGTAAAACTTGTGTGTAATCCAAATCCACCCAGTTGCCGGGGGCAAGGTACCAAACATGATGTCCATTACAGGGTTAAGAAAGTATCATTATTAAATTACTATTAAACCCTCCTCGCCTACGCCATTGCTTGTATGCATATGGACGTTATCGGAATTTACTGTATTGCTTATAAGTCGAAAATGCGAAAAAGACACGTTTAACATTACTAGTTTGAAGAATAACATTCATGTTAGCCGAAACAGGTGTATTCTAAAGTTGTTTAAATTCATTTTATTGTTCATTACGATTATGTTGTCGTAAAATATAGGCCTATTTAAAAAAGCATAACTAAAAAGTGTTTTAACGCATTTTCTTCTTACAAAAGCCTCACATGCATGATATTATTAACATTACGGCAAATCAAACCCTTGAAGAAGCCCCATCAACCATTCAATTATTACGTTGGGCAACAAATAAAACGCCCGCATCAAGGTACAGTCCTTATGCTATCGACATTAGCTCAACCCCGGCAACTAACGTGTCCCAAAACCAAGAATTGAAATCTTGACCCATTATTCTGATAAATTAGTGGTTAAACATCTTTAGGCATCTGAAAACGTTAGTTTTTAATCTAGTGTACTCAAAAAGGAACAACATAAAGCTTTATGCCGCCTTAAAAACCCAATCCCATGTTACGCAAGGCGTCGATAGAGAAAGAATAAGGCTTTGAGTCAGAACAGGCAAGGGCTTAGATAACTGCCAAAATACCTAATCTGTAGACCTCACAAGTCTAGACGATATATTTGTGCCTCTGTTTTTAGACTTTCAGAACAAATACATGTGATGTGGTCAGTATGCACATAAAAGAGAAAAGTCGTTTTAATCGAGAGACTTCAAACATTTCTGAAGGACCGAATTTGAACTTGTAGGCCGTGGTGTCGATGCCAAAGTTTAGCGTCGTCCTCAAAGATAAGCTATCGTTATATCATCTCTATGACCATATTGTGACAGATATTTACAAATGTGTCTAACATAGGACAGAATACATAGCTACTCAACAGAGATAAGCGCAATCACTTGTCCACGACTTAAGAAACCACTGTACTGCAAAACCCACCTAAATGGAAAATGTCTTAGATGTGTGTTTTAATACAAATGTGTACCTCGTCGCGAGTTAGGACCTGTATGTAGTCTGTTACTACTCTATATCTAAAAACAATAAAAAGATAACGTGAATTTTACTTGTTCATTTTCTTTGTTAACAGTATTTGTTGCATCTTGTTCAATTTTGTTAATATTGATTAACCTAAAGGGTTCAAATGTAACAAAGAAAATTGTGACTAAGTTTCCGGGTGAGGGTATGCGGACACTAGTTAAAGTACGCCCTATATATCTATTTATATTTATAGAAATGAAAGATTGTTTATCTGTTTGTCCTATATGAATTACTACATCTTTTTCATCGGATCGCCATAAAACTTTGTAAACAGAGTTTTTTTCCAGGAATCTATTCGGAGAAGGGGGGGGGGGGGAGCAAAGCCCCCCCACCCCCGAAGAAAGTCTATCGACCTCCCCCCCCCCACCCCCGAACGAAACGGAATTTATATAGAAAAAAATATATACTTTTAACAGTGTCCGCATGCCCCCCCCTGAAAGATTTCGCCAGGGCGGCGCCCTAACAGGAAGCAGAGGTGTAGCAACCTATTCCGGCGCCCGGGGCGAACTATCACTGTTGTGCCAACCCTATTCAAACGCTGGCAAAAAGGCGCCCATCCCTACATGCACTCCCCTATATAAAATAATTGAGGATATCAGTCATGTATAAATCTGTTTTCTTAAATTTTACTGAAGAATGAGGATTTTTAAAAAATTGTCTACCCCTTTTGGCGCCCCATTCGATCTGGGGTCTCTGACAGGAAGCAATGGAATTTTTCTCCATAAAAATAAAAGCCAGATGCAATTTGACACTGTTCGTACGAGAGTCATAACATTTTGGGGAGTTGGTGAAAAGGGTTTCGAGAAAGAAAAAAATTCTTAAGTGTGGCACCCTGGGAGGGTTCGATTTTTCTCATTATACGATTATGAGCTCAGAATCCAGAGGGGAATCCAGAGGGGCTATCTCATCAATTGCGGTCATAGGTAATACTAGATTCAGCAGAGGCGTAGCGAGGGGGCGGGGGGTACATATGTCCCCGGGCGCCAACCCTAGGGGCGCCAAAATGGGTGGGAAAAATTTAAAAGCTCATTTTAGCTACAGTTTTGCATTATAAATATTTTAAAAATACGGGGGGGGGGGGGGGGGGGACGCCAAATTGAAAGTTTGTCTCCCGCGGGAGGGAGGGGGGGGGGGGGGCGCCAAATTGAAAATTTGTCCCCAGGCGCCAGGAATGGTGCTACGCCTCTGAGATTCAGTGATAAAACTACACCAGGTTCATCCGCCAGCTCCCCGGCGGTTGAGTGGCCCAGAGCGGCCAAGACCCACCTCGGGCGACACTACGGTTTAGATGGGCTACTATAAATGTTCACTAAGTAGAATAATGAGCGCCCGCCGGCGCCCTGGCAGTTGGCGACAGCGAGCGCCCCGGGCTCTACAGAGAGTGCCTCTTTAAAGAGCACTCTACAATAGGGACACGGTGGCACACGACATTTTATAATTAAACCGAATTAGGGGCGCCCCTGCGGGAGTATAACCAGTGGCTCCCTGGAGCGCCAAGGGACGCGTCTCTAACACATGGGCGGTCGCCAATGTGTGTTCTACCTCACTATTACAGAGGTTGATTAACGTACACTCAAGGCTTTCATACAGTGAGCCTTGGTGCGTCTAGGCGGCAGTGTGGACAAACCCGCGCCCCAAAAACGAATATGTGGGTTTGTTTGTTTAAGCATTACCAAAGATTTCATTCGTTCGTCATTCAAATTTGAGAAGTTAATGCTAATACCCCTGTGGTGGTTTCTGCGAAAAAAAATTCGATTTGGTGGCGCCCTGTCAGGGTTCCATTTAGCTCCCCGGGTTTTCCCGTGAGTACTATGGTACCTTTGTTCGTTTTAATAATTGCGAAACGCTATGAATATGATGGGCTACTATAATCGCTCACTATACCGAGTGAGGCGCCTTCCTCCCTAGGCCCACCTACCTACATACCTAACTCCCTGCCTACGTACCTACCTATCTACTAACCTGCCTGCGCTGCTGCCTGCCTACCTACTTTCCTACCTACCGTTATTCCTGCCAAACTGCTTTCCTTCCACCCCGCCTGTCTACCCACCTCACATCCTACTTACACACACACACATATCTTCGTATGTATATATGTATGTGTTAGTGTGCTATAGGACTATGTATTTTTACATTTTTGTTGTTACGTAGAACTATTCAGTATAAAGGAGTTTCCTTTTACTTTTTTATTTTTTTGACGTTGTAACTGCCGCTAAAATATTTGTTTTTGTATGTGTGCATAAAATAGTGTAGGTTTATTAACAAAAGTAAATTTTAGTATGTATTTAAGTGTATATAATCATTTTCGTCAAGCCAATGTGTTCATAATCTTAAATTTAAAAACCCATGAAACTCGATAGCCAAAGATTTAGAATGAGAATAATTGCTATTTAACCAGAAACACCTATTCTAATTATTGTTATAATATTTTTTTAAATAAATATACACAGAGATAGATTGTTTTCTTATATAATTAATTTTAAAAAAGTCAACTGTATTTCATAACGAAAATTAACACAAAATACATTCGAATAGAAACTGTCAAGGGAGACTACTCTAATATTTTTAGGAATAATAGTTTTTATTTAGAGTTTTTTTTTATTATTAGAAGAAAAGTTAATCATGTAGGTTCTATAAAAGATTACCTTGCATTTAAAAAAAAAGATATTCGATAGGTTTAGAATGAGAAATAGTCAAAATTATTTATTATATTCATTAGTTTTTTTTTTAATAATATAGTAGAAAGACCTGTTTTAATTATTTTTTAAAAATCTTATTTTAATTAATAAATTATAAATGAAGATCGAGGATCTATATTTTTAAAAAATAGTTTAACTGTCCCTAAACAATTGTATCAATCGCTGAGAAATTAAGAATTAATAATTACGTTTAACGCTTTATTAATTAAACGAGTTGAATTATTTCCGTTTTGATAAACTCTCTCTCTCTTTATAACTACTAACGCTTTATCATTGAGTTTCTCGAGAGAAAAATACAGGAGAGCGGTAGTTATCATTGACTCTGTCATTGATAATTTCATTGAGTCTTTCATAGAAAATAGTGTTTGATCGGCTGCTCTCTCTCTCTCTCTCTCTCTCTCTCTCTCTCTCTCTTTCTCTGGTATTAGGTCTACCCGCATTAAGCCATGCTCATGAATCAGGCAGAAAGGAACAGGGTAAAGAATAGCGCTGAAATAAAACGGAAAAAAATATTTTCTAATAAATTAGCCTCTTGTTTTATTAGTTAGGGTACTTAACGGGAAAATATGTGCATCATTCAGGGACTATTCTTAACATATTGTTGCTATGGAAACGGCAAAAGAAAAAAAAACAATTATCTTTTTTGAAGGTCCGATAGTTAAAAAAAAATTAACATACATTGATTTTATAACCTTCGATCCTTTCTTTTTACTAACTCTCATTGAGTCAGCTGGCTATTTTTCGTAACAAGAAACACTCAAGAATTTTTTATTTTTAAATTTTTAAAACTGTGTATGGTAAAAAACGATGCAATTTGGCATTAATTGTTATGTTATTTCACCATATTAAACTATTGAAAAATAGAAAACAATATTTTTAGAGTGAAAATTATTGCGATCTTGGCAATCTTGGTAGTTCCATTTCTAGCACTAAGAGAAAACCATATTTATGAACATATTCAACATTCAAAGCCTACAAAAATAAAATTGTGAGGTCGTAAAACCTTATACATTGTATTTCGTACTTACCCTGTAGGTTTGCTCTAACCCTGTATTATCCGCTATATTCTCATCAAGGGTCTTGTAACCATCCACCTATTAAAAACAAAAGCAGAAGTATAAACTTTTCCATTCAAGAAATAACACTAAACATTATTTTAAATACATGTATAATTTTTAGGGATTGTTATATATATATATATATATATATATATATATATATATATATATATATATATATATATATATATATACATATATATATATATATATACATATATATATGTGGGTGTGTGTTTGTGTGAGTCTGTATCTGTGTGTGAAGTGCAAATATGCATATTTCATTTTTACTTTCTCGTATATACGTAGTATAGAGAAAGTATTGTAATCGTGCAAAAAAAAAAAAATCGAGATTTTTACAAATCTCGACGTTTTACACCTCACTGATACGGAAAAACATAATTTTGCAATCTTGTCCGTATGTCTGTGTGTGTGTGTGTCTGTCTGTGTGTGTGTCTGTCCGTGTGTAAACACGATAACTTGAGTACCGTTACAGCTAGGTTGATGAAATTTCATATATAAGTATTTTATCAAAATCGTAGATCCGTATCAACTTTTGAGCGATTTCCGATAACCGGAAGTGGTACTTTTCCTACTTTGAATTTTTCAAAAGCCTATAACTTGAGTACTATTTCAGATAGATAAATGAAATTTCACATGTAAGTAAAAAATCTAATTCTCTACCTTCTGTTAAATTTTGAGTAATTTCCGTTGACTGGAAGTAGTAATTTACGCTACTTCCGATTTCTCAAAAAACTAATGTAAATTTTTAAAGTACTAATAATATTGCGCACTATTATACGCGTTTTTATTCGGCGTTTGCTTGGTGCGCAATGTTTTTTTATGAGATTCTATTCTATTTTTAAAAGTTTAAGTATTTAAAATGGATTAAAAATCATAACTATATCCCCAGTTACCATCCCCTGTTGTTTTATATAAGAATATTCGAGAAAGTTTAGGGGAGATCACTACCGGTTTATTTATAATAAAAAAACTTACTTTGTGACCATCCCATTTGTAATCATTGTATTGAAGAGCATAGCAAGATGCAAGATAAAGATAGATATATCGGTCGTACCAAGTCCACCAGTTATTGCGTTCTCCAATTTCATCAAATTGTGAACCTTGTCACGGTAAAAAAATGTTATTTTTAATTATAGTTTGCGCATTGCTAAGTTAAAAATGTCATTTTCATCATCGAGTGCACTTTGTCAATGTATTTTTATCGTATTTTTCACCTTATGAAGGTAAAAAACAACGTTATTAGTAGTTTAAAACACAGACTTTTGCATTAGTTCGAATAAAAGAAAAATATTATTTAGTATTAGAAGACAAAATAAATGTACGTTTAAAATACAAATTAGCCAATCCATCTAATGGAAACATGTATATAGGTATATAATTTATAGTTATAAAACTTATTGTTGAATTATATAACGTTATTACTCAAACTAATTGAGAAAACTAAATACATTATATATTGAAATTTTTAAATTTATTATTTAGTAAAATAACAATATTTTTACGATATGATTTATTCCGAGAATAACAATACAAAATCTTGAGTGTTAAAGGACACAGAGTCTAAATGTGTAAACATTAGTAACTTGTATTATTCTATTTAAAACTAAAACAGCCAGTCCCTTCACTAACAAAAGTGTCACATTTCACTCTAAAGAAACAACAACAACAAACATTACAATATCTGAATCAGTCGTCTATCTTAGATTTCATTTATCATATGGTTGCTGCACTTACCCTGAGTATCAAATCCATGGGATATTTCATGGCCGATAATTGATCCAATACCGCCATATTTCATAGAGCTTAAAAATATTTAGTTTAATGACGTTTCCTAAAATACAATTGGGAATTTTTTGTAACGTAAAGTTTTTTTTTTGGATTTTGGGTGGTAAATATTGTTCTTTCTTAGACACACTGTTAATTACAAACTAATTTAAAGACGTTAGTTAATTTATTGATATGTTCATTGGTAGATTAACCACATTAGTTATAAAAGTTTAGAACAATGACTTTAGTAATAGTAAAAATATTATTTTTTTACAGTAATGTTTTCAATTATTTTTTCTTAAGGTCTATATGTGAATGATAAGGTTGACTATCAGGACCTTGCGGGGCACAGGGCAGGTGAAGTAGAGTTCACCTGTTTCTATGTTCTCAGCATATGAAGGGATAGTGTGGTCAGAGCCATGCTCGGTCGGAATCGTTTTTTTTTTTTAAAATACAAACATGTCTGAGACTTGGCGGGGCACTGGGCAGGTGAAGTAGAATTAAGTAGAGTTTTTAAAATATAAAAAACGTCTTTTTGAATGTGGGGGGTCTAGTTATTTTGGGATGATAAGTGCTGGCAGACGTGATGTCATTTATGGATGACCCCCCGAAACCCACAGTTATCTAACTAGATAACGGGTAGTCTAGTTATAACCTAAAAAAGAGGCTTCTGAACTGAGAGCGTGGCGGATTTGGGGGTAGAGATGGGGAGGAGGGGCGGGGTGCATATCCCTAGAGAAATCAGAAAACATTTAATATTAATTATTTCTTCCTATTCATAATAGAAACTTATTTAGGTATAATCTAATAAAAAAATCTAATAAGTATACAGTTTTATTTTATTTATTATGTTAGCCTGAATATTTGTTTTTTATTTACTTAATTAATTATTAAGTAATTATTAATCTAGCGTGTTCTTTCTTACTTTGTTTATTTGATTTTTTAGTTATTTTACTTATTATAAATCCCATTTTTGTCACTAATCAATTAACAAATAAAAAAATAAATGTATTACTTAATTTAATGACAGAATGAATGAATTAAATAAATAAATAATTAATTAATTAAGTAACTAATGTTAATTAATGTTAATTAATTAATTTAGTCATTAATTCAATCATTAATTCAGTAATTAATTAATTAATTTATTTATTCATTAATTCAGTCATTAACTCAGTAATTAATTAATTAATTCAGTCATTAATATATTCATTCGTTCACACACTCACGCACTCACCCACTTGCCTGCTAGATTGCTCACCTGCTCACACACTCGCTCACTCAATCATTCACTTACTCATTGTTCGTTCGTTCGGTCGTTCATTCACTCGTTTGTTCCTTTATTCGTTTGTTCTTTGGTTCGTTCTTTGTTCACGTTTTGATTTATTTACTCAAGATTGTTTTTGTATTTTTTTTGCATTTAAAGAATAAATGAATTGCTTAGGGGTCGTCCATAATTGACGTCACACTCACAGGGGGGAGGGGGGGTCCGTAATTTTGTGACGGTGTGTGACGAGGGGGAGGGGGGGGTGTTCAGATGGTGTGACGTCACTTTTTGCCTTTTAAAAAAGCAATATCAGAAAACGAGTTTTAACCATTATTTCGAGTTTTAGAAAACTGTTCTAGTAAATTGTAATAGGAATTGATTAAAATACTCTACTTTGACAAGGTTCAGACAAGATTTTTGAAAAATATCGATGTTTTAAGAAAAATTCAACTTCAACTTTGAGAGGGGTAGTAGGCTGAGGTGTGACGTCTTTTTAGGGGAGGGGGGGTCTAGCTTTTTGTGACGATGTGATACAGAGGGGAGGGGGGAGGTAAAAATCGTCCAAAAAAGCGTGACGTCATTTATGGATGACCCCTTAATTTAATAATTATGTATCTATAAAAATAACGTTTACACAAAATGTTGCATATAGTATTTAGAAAAAAATATTTATTAAGGCTCATATTAAGCTCATTACCTTGTGCCATAAGCGTAGTACGCTGGTTCTTCTAAGACACCAGCTAGAATATCTAAGAAAATAGAAAATAGAACATTTTAGGAGCTCTTCGCCTTCTCATGTTTTTCGAGTATCTCTTCCCCTCCCTCTAATTAAAATACCTGGAAAATATCCTCGTAAGAAAAAAATCTGACTACTGACTGTTATGAAACTCGTGGTTTTGCGATTGCGCGATAAGTAAATCTATTCTTCTATTATGAGACATACTGTAAGCTTTCCTAAACAAAAAGTCGGATCTATCTATATAAACCGGGAGTAATCTCCCCTAAACTTTCTCTAATATTCTTATATAACAATACGGGGGATGGCACAATATTTTCAATCAATTTTTAATGACTTAAGCTTTTTATAATAGAATATAACATATAATAAGAATTGCACACAAAGTAAACGCCAAACAAAATGTGCATAATTGTGCGGGATATTATTAGTACTTTATAAATTCATATGCGATTTTTGAGAAATCAGAAATAGCGTAAATTACTACTTCCGGTCAACGGAAATTACTCAAAATTTAACAGAAGGCAGATAAATATATCTTTTACTTAATGAAATTACATTTATCAATGTGAAAGAGTACTCAAGTTATAGGCTTCTGAAAGTAGAAAAAAATCCACTTCCTGTTATCGGAAATCGCTGAAAAATTTATACGGATCTACAAAATTATATTTTTCCGACTCTGTATATACGAGAAAGTAATAAAAAGCAATGTATATTTGTTTCTTTGTTTGTCGTTTAAGCATTACTACACCTTTCATCCGATCACCATGAAATTTTGGGAAGTTTGAAAAATAAACCCGGGGAGGTTTCTGCGAAACAAAAATTTCAAATTCGAAAGTATGGCGCCACGGCGTGGCGCGATGTTTTTTTTCTATATATGCAGTATATAAAAATACAAGTCGATTACGGTTTGACACCGTTCATCCGATCGCTATCAAACTTTGGGGAGTTAATTAGAACACTACAGAAGAGGTTTCAGTAAAAAAAAAATCTTTTTAATTTCGCAAGGCCGGCGCCGCGGGAGTGTGCGATTCTTTTCTATATACTGTATATACGATACATACACCGCCAGGGTCAATTTTTAAAATTCCTGAATATTATCTAAAAATTTGATTTGTATAGTAACAACAGACCAACAACAAGTCTAAAAAAATGCACCATTAAAAAAAATTTTTTTTTACTTTTATTGAAGAAAATATGTTAATTTTGATACAAATATTAAAATTCACAAAAAAAAAACAACACAAAAGCAAAAGTACTTGATAAATAGTAATATAACTTTACAAAAACATTTAACAGTATGTTTATTAAATGATTACAGCTGTTGGTGGCCATACTTTGATTAGGGAAAAAATAGTTGACCAAAATATAAATGCACCCCTTAATTTTTGCCAATTTTGGTGTTTTTGACAAGAAATTCCTTTGTAAAAATGTAAAATGAAAAGACATTCAAACTGCAACATGTATTTCTGTAGACAAATTCACTATAAATAAGTATGCCAAATTTCAAGACTCTAGCTACAAAACTTAATATTGTACGGCCTGGAGCCTTCGTAAGAAAATGGAAAAACGACAAACTGAGAAAAATGAAAAAAAAAACTAAAACATTGTTTAAAAAATTACATTGCATAAAATCAGCAAACAGTAATGAAATATCTGTACATAAATAACAGATGAAATAGAATATGTTACTCACACTGTACAATTTCTGATATCAGTAAAAAAAAATTGAATTCCATGACCCTATGTGAGGCAAAAAAATGTTTTAATCCAAAAGTCACTAGAACCCCCTGCTAAGTATTGTGGACCACCTTCTATCTGAGCTAACCTATCAGATTCCCTCCTTTCAGCATCCCTAATAATCTCCCTCCTCCTATTAACACCCTGTCTAACAGCACTCTCTGCTTTTGCAACCCTAATGTTGTCACGTCGTTGTCCCAGTTTTTCAGTCTCCCTCCCTATAGATAACCCTAACACTATCAAAAATTCCCTTCAAGCCCTGGATCCCATATTGAATTCCCCAACCCCCACCGTAACAGCTGCCTCTAGACGTGGTCTCTGAACAAATATGTGCTTAGGGCACCGTGACCAAATCAACGAATGTATGCTCTCATTCACATTTTGGGTTTTCCCCTGCAGGCAACGTTTCAAAAGTTCCTCAGAAGTAAGTTTCTCATATACCTCTTTCACATAACCTGCCACAACAGGATATGCTGCTGCTGTAATGTTGAGCAACAGCAACACCCTTAGACAGAGCTTTTTTGAAAAAGCACCAGGACCCTACACCATCAGGACAATCTTCATGATGTGGTTCATCATCTGTGTAGGTGCAGTGCCGAAAGCCTGCCCAGATAGCTTTCTGCATGTCTGGCACGTTACTGCTGGATCTGACAGCCTTTGTATAATACTTTTGGAGCTTCTTTATTTTGTCCTGGGTTAGGCGACCCAAGCCTCGACCACCAAGGGTTTTTTTTTGCTTTTTTTTAGTGTCAACTAAGGTGCGCAAAGCAGTGCCTAAACGTTTTGCAACATGGTTGATGCATTCCTGCTTCTGCACCAATAAGCCAGGATACGGGTCTGCCTTGTGGATGGCCTTGATAGTGTTGGTGTCGCCGTCTAAAACCACTGAACGGTAGCGGAGTCCATGGCTTGCTACAGAACGATTCCACATCGTAACTACCACCTGCTGTTCCATACTGCCGGAGGATCCTTGGTGGTTCTTGTCGCACATAGGCTGGTGGCTCTCAAACCAATGGGCAAGCTTTGTCTGGTCACCAGCCAGCCTTTTCTGCATTATCGCACACCTCTGGCAGTATTTGGACAGGCATTCGAAGTCAACTACAAGTCCTGTGCGATTTTCTATTATACAGCCTATGACCGATTTTGAGGTGTGTCTTCTTGTGTGCCAGCTGCCATCATAGGACACATCAATATCCACCAGATCATTCTTTTCTTGCTCAGGGTAAGCAGCCTTCACCTTTTCAACTGACTGTTGCAACAAGTTGTCCTTGTATGCACGTACATTCCTATAAATAGCACTGGAATGCTGGTTGTAGGTCTTCTGGTTAAGATTAGGTATGTTCAAAAGTTCAAAAAATTTACCCATACCAGCATGCCCCATACCTGTGGCAAGAGATGAAGCCACAGCTCTGCGGTTGACTTCAAAAAAGTTGGTGTCGCATCTTTTTGATGTGTGGCAGCTGGTGATTATAAAGCCACATTCGCTGCACACTACTTCCAGAAATAGAGCAAGGCCAGCCCGTTTTTTTTCATTGCTGGATACGGTGAAGTGTCCCTCTTGACACTCAGGACAAAGAAACTTCACGAACAAAGCCTGTAGAGCCTCAAGCTGAATTTTAGCAGTTGCTGAGGCTACGAGAGTATCACCAACAGCATCAAACAAGGCTAGCTTTGTTTTTGATGCTGAATGGGCTGCTGGGCTCTGGGTGAACCTGACCTACATGCTGTTGCTTGGCAGCTCTGGCAAGTTTTAGTTGTTGCAATCTCTTTTTGCTTGCTCCCATTTTCTGAAAATAAAAGAATACATAACATATTACTTTACTATCTCATAAAGTTCAAAATCTACAGTGCTGTCACAATTCTCTAAAAATCTAGCCTAAATAATTTCCATTTTATGCTCTACATAATTTTTTTTTTAAATATTCAAATAGGGCCTATTCCAAATCGTAATCATATAGATTTTCTAAGTATAGCTTGAGTGATTATATAGGTCCTTTGTTCAGCCTCTTACTATGCACATATCTAGATCTAGGTTCTAGATCTGGCGTCTTGAGTTCAAGATAATTTCATGTATGAATTACAAATACAACTATAGTATGTACTCCCAATTTCTGCGCGCGATCAAAATCTATATAATCTAGATCTAGATCAAATCTAGATTTAGATAATTTGTACATCGATCTAGATCTAGATTACATCTAGTCTAGACTTTTCTAGATCTAGATCTAATCTCTCTAAACTCTAAACATTCTAGAATCTAGATCTAGATCTAGATCTGGATTCTAGATCTAAATGTAGAGATCTAATCAAGATTCTAGATCTAGTAAAGCCGTATTTCAATTAAATTTTGTTGTAATTAGAATATTATGAAAAATATAAATGTAAACTTACCAGAAGTATGCTTTGAATATTCACAATACAAATGCTTGTCAAGATATTTCAAGAACGATCTGTCTCACGACGGTGATAGTAATTGAAATGTGATCGCAATGCGTCGCCGGAAGTAGTGCATTATGGGTCACGGTTGAGGGGCACAGGTCAAAGTTTAGGCTTTCCGACGAATCGAATTCAACCAAAAACGAAACTAACCCCGCCGACCAATGAAAATGCGTCATTTTCAAATTTTGAATTGTTAATAGGGGTCACTTCCTTCTTTTGTTAATTTTATTCATCTAACCTTTGGCCGGACGAGGAGCGGCTGCTTTTGATTGATACCAAACATGGCCATACCACGTTGAATAGAAATCGAGAATCGAGGTACAAAAGTAGAGCAATTTTCTACTTTTTCCTCGATTTTCTCTGGGCCCCACCCTAGTTTAATAATATTTATAAATATATTAGGAGTTTTTTTAAAAGATAACATTATTGGAAAACGATTTATTAGATGTCAATCTAGTGGATTTTCCAAAAATCCCAACCTCGATAAAATTTAAGCAAATATCGATATTTGCACCTGTGGAGTACCTTAAAAAATGAAAGGCATATGTGGTTCGACACCGTTTATCCTAGTGCCATATAACTTCGGGGAGTTGATGAGAATACTCCCGAGAAAGTGTTTTGGGGAAAAAAAATAATTTCGCACGGGCGGCCCCCTGCACGATACGATTCAGCGCCCCAGTCTTTCCTGTGAGCGATATGGCGTCTACGTCCGCTTTAAATATTGCATAAGCATAAGATTGGTTTTTAGAGTCGTTCACTAAACATAATCAAGCGCGTCCCCCGGCGCCCCGGCTGGTTCCATTTGGCGCCTCTGGTTTTTTGGCGGTAGTGAAGGAAACCCGTTCCTGATAAATATAATCCAAGCGCAAGCATTGTTTAAATTTTAATAACTCAGTTTTAGAAAACAAAATCTTCCGTCCAGGAATATCAGATTGGTAAAGCATTGATGAAACCCTCCTAATATATTTCGACATATTTTATATTTGTGTATTATGCTTTTCTACACCTTTCACCTGATCTGTCATGAAACTTTGGGACGTTGTTGATAATACTCCTGGGGAGGTTTCTGCAAAAAAAAAATCAATTTCGGACGAGCGCCGACCCGGCAGGGTGCAATTTGGCACCCCGGATCATCCCTTGAGCACTATGGCGTATACGTTCGCTTTAAACCGTGAAATAAGATTTAGCCGTTCAATAAATTGAATTAGACGCGTTCGCCGGCGCCCAACAGGATGCAATTATGCGCCCGGGGCTATCACGGTAGAGCTAAGACCCATAAGTTCGTTTTAAAGATTGTGATAGAATATGGATAAGAAGTAGTATTATAGTCGTTCACTAACTTGATTTAGGCCCGTCTAAGTGCACCCCTGCAAGGTTCAATTCGCCCCGGGTTATCCTGGGACTATTTGTAACCCCGCGGCAATGCGCTGTGATGGGCACACTATTTACAACATAAATAGTACTTGACTATATTGGAATCATGTTAGTGGAACGTCCCTGAGTCCACCCAACTCTGATGGGTACCTAACTCGCGTTAGGAAAACTAAAGGCTGCTGGGCATGGTACTGACTTTATATGCCGAAGTCTCGAAACATATGAACTCCACGCCATCTGACGAATGGATCGTTATTCTAAAGAGGAATCCTTAATTTTTACTATATTGGAAAATAATTCCATTTAGGGTTAACTTACACATGCTGTTGGATCCAATTTGGTAATAAGCGTTAACATAAGATGTAGATTCAGGCCATCTGTGGAGAACAGCGCTGTATTATATCTATTTCGAAAGATTATAAAACTATTATTATGTTAAAACTGTATAATACTTTAATAACGGCTAGTATTTTTAAATTTCAAATATTTCTCTTACTTTTCCTGGTAGTCTACATTCGCTACCAAGATATTTATTTTTTCTAATGCGCAGTTTTTAACAAGCACCAGACACAACTCGAAGTACTCGAGCGATTCATATCCAGGTTTAAAAATCTGAGATTAAAATGTCAAAAAATAAAAACGATCAGAGGCATCCCAACGGGATAGGGGAGAGGTTCGTGTGTGTTAGTGGGTGTTAGTGTGTGTGTGCGATGGGGGGGGGGGGGGGGCTGTTTAGATCTATGGAAATAATTAGTAAAGTAGCTGAAAATAAAACCTAAATGCCAGCTTATTAAATCATTAATTAAAGGTAAAAGGGCTTTTAAGTATAAATTGGTGCGTGTTTGGAGAGGGAGGAAGTGGGGAAGACGGCTTGCTTACTACACAAATATATATTGCAGGGGATGTCACACGACCTAGCGACTCCCCTGTGTATGATATATGTTCTTTTTCAAAGGTTCTTTATTTGTTTTGTTTTTTCTAAAAATTTTATTCAATTATTTTTTTTTAAGACAATAGTGGTGACTTGACTTCAAAAAAATGTATATAGCACTAAGAGGAAAAATGCAGGTAGATTATAAATGAACTATGAGGTAAGTTACTTTAAGAGAAAATTTAACTAACAAAAATAACTTACATTAGAGTAGTATGCATTGAGTTTATCATCGTCTAAAAGAGATTCTGGATATCCAACATTGAAACCCATTGATGATAGCTAATGCATATGTGATATATATATATATATATATATATATATATATATATATATATATATATATATATATATATATATATATTCGTATAAGTATATTGAAAAATTGTAGCGCTAACAGTGTAACGTGTAAGTGAAATAAAGTGACAGAAGAAGCTTAGGATAACCACAGATTTGTGAACAAAGTTAATCTCAGTTGTCTATCTCTTCCACCTTACATTATGCCCATTCCAGCACCAGCATCTTGCAAAAGCTAAATTAGTCTAAATTTTTTTTTCAGGTAAATACATTTTATAACAACAGTTCCTTTTTTAATATTAACCTTATATTATGTTTTACACACTTTTTGTCACATATAAATACACTTCTCAGTAAAAACAACACGTATCAAAAGCAAATGTTAATACGCTTAGTGGTTTTGAACTGATTTAGGCATTTTAATATGTTTTGTTGTAGGAAATTCATGTGAGTTAGAGCGATTTGACATTTGTGCAATGTTCCTGAACAAAAAACTCGTATCAAGTGTTACTACCATATAACGGTAGTTTAGTTACTATGATATATTTGGAATTTAAAAATATATATAAACATTTAAAAAACCGCCCTTACTTTAGACTTTGCTCGTGCCTTTGTTTGGTTGGAGAGCCAAGTATTTTTATTCAATATCTCGTGAAAGGACGCTTTGATTTCGTTGCTCATAGCAGCTACCTAAAATAAAATAAATGATCATTTTGTTTCCTCTGAGTTTTTTTAAAATTTGGTTTTCTTTTAATCGATAATTGATTTTTGAAAAGTTTTAAATTGTAATCTTTTTTCATTGTATTATTGTATAATTAAATGACAAAAATAATGCTTAGCCTGAGTAAACATGTAATGTAATCAAATACTCAAGATCGTTTTCGTGTTCTTCAATCAATGGTGCATATAATATGAATCATTCACTTAGAGATGCAAAACTGTACGTTATGAAGGATTATCTTTACGAATAGTATTAAAATACACTAAAGACAGAATCAAAATCATATTCTGAAATTAGAATAGAAGCGTTTAAATATATATATATATATATATATATATATATATATATATATATATATATATATATATATATATATATATATATATATATATATATATATATATATATATATATATATATATATATATATATATATATATATATATATATATATATATATATATATATATATATATATATACTAGCCGTCCCGGCCAGGCCCTGCTCTGGCTTCTGTGAAAAACCTTTCTGTTAAAGACCATTACCTGTGTGTTTAGTAATCATCATAAACCCGGCATTGCCCACCCAAACCACAACCAACCAAAACAACAAAACGCAAACATAACGCTAACACAATTACAAATACAAACGAAAACAAAAACATAACAACAAACCCAACCACAATCACAAACATCAATACAAACACAAAGAAAAAACAAACACAAAAGCAAACGAAAACAAAAACCTAACAACAAACCCAACCACAACCACAAACACCATACGAACACAAAGAAAAAAACAAACGAAAAAGCAAACGAAAACAAACCAAATCCAAACGCAAAACCAACCACAAACACAAACCCAAAGAAAAAAACACAAACGAAAAGCAAACGAAAACAAACCAAATCCAAACGCAAAACCAACCACAAACACAAATAAAAACACAAACCCAAAGAAAAAAACACAAACGAAAACGAAAAAAGAAAAAACAAAAACGAACCAAATCAAAACGCAACCACTAACACAAACCCAACCTAAACACAAAGAAAACACTAACGCGAACATAAACGCAAAATGCTCACAGTCTAGTCCGGGGCAGAATCGCCTGTTTCAGCTTAATAATCGACTATAGTACCCCAACTTATTCATAGTCTTTTGCACTCACTTAAACGAACGTAGGTGCCAAACCAAACCAAATGAACAATTATAATACTCCAAGCTTATTCGTAAAATACCTACAACATTTGCACTTGATCTATCCCCGCTAATTATGTAATTATTTTTTTCCCAACACCAAAACTAAGTAATAAAAAGTAAATTCTTTTCCACTAATGCAATGTTTTATAAAGGGAAGTAATTGTGTTTTCCTAATTTATCAAAGGGAAGTAAGTGCTAAAGGACTAAATATAAATAATTTTCAGACATAATTAGAACTTTTGTTATTTTTTTAAAATTGTGTTTAATGAACATGCCGACAATTATTACTATCAGTTTGAAAAATTAAAATTATTTCCCAACACTTTCAATAGTAATTTTTTAACTCACAAATTTAGACTATGAGCACGATAATAGTCTAACACTTAAATCCATAGAAGTATGTCAACTTATTCTTACATACAGAATTGAGCTTTATATATTATATATATATATATATATATATATGACTATTAAAAATTGAAATAATATGCTAAATTGTTTGAAAGCGGTACACAACTCACAAAATCTCTATCCTCTTTTCTGAGGTATTTATTCACATACATCCGACCCACAGCCTCTGGAAGTTTATTCTCCGTAAGTGCTACACAAGTCTTCCATCTGTCCTTCCTATAATTTAATTCAGCCTGTAAACGTAACGAGTCGTCATATCTATAAAAACAAGTAGATTACAATTTCTGCGAAAGCAGGTAGATGACATTTCTACAATAGTAGCAATACGAAATTTTGATGGTAATGTTTATTCTTGTTTATTCTTTACCTCAGTTTAGCCGTAGGCCTATAAGTTGAGATAATACTGATTGATTTAAAGAAAACTACGAAAAGCAACAAAAAAAACAAAAAACTGACGCATAGAATAATTAAATAAACTAACTTTTTAAAATTGTAATACGGTTAATGAAATACATTTCGATAAGTTATGTGAACACCATACCTCTATGACTGTTTCACATTAACGCGAGAATATCTAATATAGATAAATCAATACCTACTGTAGGATATCTATGATTTAACTCCCTGAATCGATAGTCTAGGAGATCAGTGAACGTGAGCAGACACGACATCATGTAATTAGCTAGAGCTCTAGTAATAAAACAAAAGAACAATACATGAGGTTCTCTTCTTCTTCTTCTTCTTCGTTCTTAATTTTTTTTTATTTGAGGTTATATATATATATATATATATATATATATATATATATATATATATATATATATATATATATATATATATATATATATATATATATATATATATATATATATATATATATATATATATATATATATATATATATATATATATACATAGAATATATTTAATGATACCTACCTACCTAACTTATTTCCAAAAGTGAGGAAAGCTTGGAGAAAAAAGACCAGCGAAAAGCTAAAGCTAAAGTAACAAAACATCTATATATCTCTCTATATATAATTCTCTACATGGGGACTATACGAGACACCACCGCTCTCTAGGCATATAGCTACCACCCCCACCCCCACCATTCTGGTGAGTCAAGGTTCACCCCGAATGTTTACAATCGTCGAGCGCGGTCGAATTAGTAACGACTATTAGGGGCAGATAGTTTAGTTTTTAAACGATATGCAACTAGTGAGAGGTAAGAAGTTTTGCTTGATCTTTTTATTGTCGTCCGTAAACTGTCGTCACGGACGACTGCTTTCACAGTGGCGGGGGGGGGGGGGGAATGGAAGGGAGGGTAGTGTCAAATTCACTAACTTTGAAGTACTGAATAGTAGAACATAAAACAACTAAATAGCGGCGTATGATACGCCGCGGGTCAGCTTGTATCTATATAATTATCTTCATGGAGGCATCATGCTAGACACCAAATAAACAAGTTAACCGCATCCTCCCTCGCTCTCTAGGCAAATCGCCAACACTTCTTCGTTCTTAAATTTAACTAGACTTACCCAGTCATCCCTTGGATAACTGTGGGTTTCGAGGGTCATCCATAAATAACATCACGTCTGTCACTTATCATCACAAAATAACCAGACCCCCACATCAAAAAGACGTTTTTTATCTTTCATAACCACCAATTTCGGCTGAGCATAGGTCTGACCACACTATCCCTTAATATACTGACGTCACAGGTGACCTACTCAACTCTACTTCACCTGCCCAGTGTCCCGCCAAGTCTCAGACAACATGTTTTTATCGTTTAAAAAAACAATTCCGGCCTAGCGTGTCTCTGACCACACTATCCCTTCATATGCTTAGGACAAAGAAACAGATGAACTCTACTTCACGTGCCCTGTATCCTGCCAAGTTCACTTTATCATTCACATCTAAAAAAAACAAATTGAATTTTTTTTATATTATTGACCAGATGTGTCTAGAACCCGTGCCACCCGCATGAAAGCCTATTACACAAACAACTTAGCTATCGAAAGTTTGAGGGGGGCTGCAAATCGAAATCTTGAGGGGGGGGGTGCAAATCGAAAAGTTTGTCCCCGGGCGCCGGGAAGGGTCGCTACGCCTCTGGTATAGAGATGTTGGAAGTGATCCCCTCGAACAAAATCAAGAACAAACTACAAAACAGCAGTTGTTTGAGTTTTGGAGTTGTCTCTCCAATAAGAGCGGCTGCCCCCAGCTAACGAGCCTCGACTGCTAACATAGCTCTCAATGGAGCCCGGGACGTTAAGGTCACTAAACCGCTGGGATATACCGTTAAACGCAGTAGTACCACTACCTCCTATTCAAGACGCGCAATCAACGGATACCAAGTGCCAAGATATCTGCTCGGTAACTTAGAGTGCCCATGGCGTTTTTTTGAAAGGGGTAATAATGCATAAAAGACACGACACACGCACACATATCTTCATTGATATAATATATATACATATATATATATATATATATATATATATATATATATATATATATATATATATATATATATATATATATAACTTATGTGTACAGTGGTTATAATATGTTTCCTAACCTTTTTGAAAAAGAGTTCAGTATATCTGACAGCTGATTAAAATACCAGTCTCGCTCTAAGCGAACTGTGTCCGTCGATTCAATGACGATATTTCCTTTTGCCGCAATCGTTTTCAACACTTTAAGCCAATCAAGCTAGAAATAAAAAACAGTTTGAATGCTAGCATATATTTATTTTGTTAAACTCCTTATCTTAAAATATATGTCATCAATTTTTAATAGCACTAGCTCAAATTTCTGGTTGTGGTATTCTTTATATACTTTTTGAAGTATAATTTTATTATATATTTATATAATTATTTTTTAATTTTCTTACTATTTCGATGTTTTAAAAAATCAATAGAAATGTTTTTTTTTATAGTACAAGAACATCAGTTTTATGAACCGAAGCACAAGCATTCTGAATGTATTACATAATTACATTTTATTTAAAAACAAATTAGATATGTCGTTTAAATTGCACTTCACGATTAATTCAAGTTTACGTTTACCAATGAGTTGGACCTGCATTCAATATATTGCAGTACATCTTGCAAGTGTTGCCTCAGCAATATATTCGAAAATAATTACCTGGCTCCTGATTAAAATGTTAATTAAACGTTGTATACACTCATGGTTTTATATGTCTATTTCACTTCCTGAGACATTTTAAGTTTTAAAAGTTTGTTTTAATATGTAAATATGAAATGCAATGCGGTTAAAAAAAATATATGTTAAAAATAATTATATTTTATACCCAATTGTATTTCTCTTGTAACTTATCAATTGAAAGCGGGTAAGCAACTGTAGCTGATTGGTTGTATAGCGCCTGAAAAAAAAATTATTCTGCGCATTAGTACAATGATCAAAAAGCTAAAAGTAGTAAATATTAAAATAATTATTTCAAATCTAAATATATAAATATGTTAAATCGTTTATCTTATGAACTAAGATCCCACTATATTCCGGGATAACAGAAAAAGCTTAACTAACCCATGAACCAGCAAAGATAAAAGGGCAACTTAACACAAAGTATTAGATCGAAAAAAATATTTTAAGATTTAACCTTCATAATAGCACCTTTGACTTGATTCATCTCTTCAAAATCAGTCTTTAGAACATTTACATCTGCACCAAGAAGCTTTAGTGCTTCCGTCATAAATACCCGCTGATCTTCATCGTTTCTCGCGGTATAAACATGGTATGGAAAATCTATCTGGGGAAATATTTTTTATTATTAAAAGCAACATTTACAGACTCAGGGAAATTATTTAACTAAGTGGATCTAAAATCATGTAAGTGTAATACAATTGCTTTAAATTAAAGATATGAGTAAGCTAATTGCATTCGATTTCTCAAACAACAGACACTTGCCCGAGTGCTATTTGGCCGAAGGCCGTTTTCCTGAATGGACACTTTTCCGAACGCGACAAACGCGGACTATGGCCCGAATGATCACTTTGCCGAATATGAGAAATGCCCAATAAGCCACTTACCCGAAAGCGGTTTTACCGAAAAAGGTTTAATTTTACATATTACACATTGCCCAATATACAATGTTAATAAATCTGAATTCGACATAACTATAGGGCTGGTAAGTAGGTCACTAACCAGTTCTAGGGCTCATGTAGGTTTTATTGAGCCGTAGAACTGGTTGGTGGCCTACTTACCAGCCCTATAATTAACACAATTCTAACCATAAAAACTCTATATAGGTATTTTTTTCTTCGAATTTAAAAAAAAAAATCAGAATGAATCTCAATTACATTATTACGTAATCACTTTAGCACATTACATAAATAAGTTTTTTTTAATAAAGATAAAACATTAGCGACTATATCTGGGGTTTTTATAAATTGCATTTAGGAAAACAAAACTTATATAGTTCAACAACGTTCAATATAATTATATTTTTAAAATGCTTACTGAGAACATTTTCTTTGGGCCTCTGGCAAATGGATCCACAAACAAACTCATGAAGGGCATCAAATCTAGATAATAAAAAAAAAATCCGCTAGAGACAAGTTTAATCACAAAATAAATTTGTATTTGTTTGTTTCTTTCTTTCTCTCTCACTATCTTCTCACTTTCTCTCTCTCTCTCCTCTCTCTCTCTCTCTCCTCTTCTCTCTCTCCAAACACTGTTATCTGTTGTGTAAGATTCAATGATATTATCTATGACAGTGACTATGATAAACTGGTATTTTAAAAAAATAAAGACCTCCTATAGAAACTGTTAACCTCTTTGTTTTATACTTTATTAATCAACAATTTATTAAAAAAATAACTAAAAATATGCCCTTTCTACTATCTCAATATATAATTCTCTTCGTGGGGACCTTGCGGGACAACACCAAGACGTTAGCGCGCCTAGCAGTCCCCTCTCTTCTCTCTAGGCATATCGCTACTACACCCGCCCACACCGGGGCAGATAAATTTAGTTTGAAAACGATTGTAAACTTAGGGGAGGTAACTAAGAGGAGGCTGCTTTCAGGAGGGGGGGGGGGGAGAAGGGGTTGGGGGAAAGGAGCAGAGTTTCTTCCAGGCATCTCTTCGGGGGGGGGGGGGCGACCCCCCCCCCCCCCCCCCCCCCGAAAAAAATTTAACGCCACCCCCCCCCCCCCCCCCCAACGAAATGAAATTTATATAATTTATATAGAAAATATATACTTTTAACAGTGTCCGCCCCCCCCCCCCCCCGAAGAAAGTCTACCGGCCCCCCCCCCCCCCCCGAAAATTTCAAGTGCCCCCCCCCCGGAGAAAAAAAGTCTGGAAGAAACACTGGAAAGGAAGGTGGGGGTGGGAGGGAGGGGTTATCGTCCTTTACGAGCTACTAGTGTTTTATAGCAAATATTTTCAGAAGGCAGCATTGGTAGTGTCGAATTCACAAATTATGAATTAACTGAAAAGTAGAAGATAAAACAACTAAATAGCGGCGTATGCTACGCCGCAAGTCCGGCTCGTACTATGTTTATACATTAGGGCCTAATCAAAAT